CCATGTATCCATATAGGCATATATTCCTTATCCTCTGCGAAGATTGTCCAATATTACTGCTGTACTGAGGAGTCCAGAGATGAGCTTGGTCTCCGGTACTGGAAATCTGTATGCTGCGGCGTATATAAAAAAAAAAAATGTCTGGCCAATTCGTGCGACAGGCGCCATCTTGCTACATGTCATACACTCCCCCCAGTTGGCCAGGGTGCGCGCACCAGAATGAGCAACACAATGTGCATTGAAGGAAAAACTGTTTAATTCAACGTATGTCATTATGGTTTGTTTTTTAAAGGAATAATATCAGAGAATGCTATTTTTGTGATTTATAAATCACACAAGTTGGATTACGCAAATCTCAGGGCATGACTGTAATTGGTTAATTAAGATTTTTTGACTGTACGAACGTGGAAATAGACTCAGTTACTGTAATTGTGTCTGTGTGTACTCTGCAGGAGCACTCCCTCAGTGCAACTGATGAAGAATCCTGAAGCGAGAGGTGTGGCATGAAGGGATATTCCGCCTGCGCACACACGTCCAGTACATCAGTACGCAAAACCTCCATCCACTTGTTCACGTAAAGGAGATAAAACTGAAGAGTTTGCAATAATGCAAATGCACATGTTCAGTCAAGGTCTTCATTATGTGTGTCCCTAATCTAACCCGGTTTTCAATTTTTTTGCGTTTAATTCCAGTTCAGTAATGACATGTGTATCCGCTGGTGATGAGACTCAATTAAAAACTCAAAGGAGAGGCTTTTTAATTCATTAATTGCACTAAATTTCATTTTAATAGCATACAAATATTTGACAAAATAAGTTATACTTTTACGGTTCAAAATACATTTTGGTTGCCCAATTTCTCCTCTTTTCGCCCGTTATTGAGACAAGTCTTGCTCGCCTGACGCTAAACATGATCTCCGGCGGCTATTCTCACTGCAGTGTTTTACATTTAGGGATAAGCAAAATCTTACTTTTGCACAATTTTCACATAACCAGAAACTTGCCCATATTTCCATTGAGCACTTTTTTCAAATTAAACTTTGCGTCATGTTTAGTATTGCTTGGAATATAGAATGGAAAATTGCATTTCAATTTTTTTTTTTTTTTTTGGTTTTGTTTTGTTTTTTAATTTACTGTCCTTAATTCATCAAATTGAGCACATTATAATCCCAACCCAAGTATTTGCAGTTGTGAAATCACAACTCGGGAAGCCTTCAAATTGATTGTGTTTTTCTGTATGATGATCAATTTATGCCGTTTATTTATTCTACATAATTATCAAATGGTAATTACCACTTCACTTACCCGAATGTTTACGAAAACAGCGAGGAGTCAAACTCTTCCGCTTAGCTTTGAACTTGCCAAATAGTGAGACCAGACTTCTTTTGAAAATACAGTTTGTTTTGTTTTCACACAAAGTCTGCTGATCTCAAACCTTATGTCGTAACGTACATTGGTGTTCATAATGGTGTGTACTACTTTGATATGGTTGAATGTTTTCATTTCGTAGTATTTCATTTTTTTAACGTGCAATGTAAAAAAAAGGTTCTGATTGAGATTAACAACCACTTTTTAAAAAAGTGACCCTTTCCAAAAAGCATCTTTCACACAAAAGAACAAGTGATGGAAAGGACAACACAATGCAACATCCTACGAAACGCTATTTTATTTACTTTTTTTTCATGAGTGTTGATTAGACTCAAAGGGAAGAATCTAGTGGATATTTACTATATTTACATACAACTTCACTCACACACAGTTAGGGCTCTGTTAAGGGGGAAGATGTGCCTACATTAAAAAAAAGTAACTTATCTGCCCGATGGAGTTCAGAGAACATCTAGATCCTGTTAAAAAAAAAAAAAAAAACCTGAATGTATCCAGAAATGTTTTCAAACTGCCAAGAAGCAAGCGCCTTCCTCACCGAGTGGACATGACTGAACGTGGGTCAAAAGAGTCAGACATTCAAAAAGCAACGTTTGTGTACACTGGTGTGTTTGGGTTGGATGTTGAGCCTGAAACACTTTTCAGAACATGTGAAGTGACAATGTTGACGTGACTGAGGGTTCACAGAAGTTGCGCTTCACGTATGTATCCGTTTGCATCAAAACAGCCTGGATGCTGCTGCTTGCGCGTCTCGTAGCACTTCAAACATATTTGAGCACATGGAGGTTTTGAGCCAGCCAATATGTACTGTATCTTTAATTGCTTCCTAATGTTTTCTGTATGTGGTGACTTAAGGTTGGCAAAACTTTTAGTGTACATTTCCTGTTAGGTTTTTTGTTTTTCATTTTAAGTCAAAGGACCAGAGGGACGCTGGCTCCTCTCTGCTTGTGAACGCCCCACGGCCTGACAGTGTTGGATATTTCTGTATATGTTGGCTTACAATATGTTTTGGTGACTCTCTTATAGAACTGTACTTTTATTATTCTTGGTAGATAGTTCAACATGCAACCAAAGCATCAACATTTCTGTCTGTGCTGTGTTGTGTCATTGTTACTGGAGAGACCATTGTAACAATAAATTAAGTGTCAAGGTGTTTGTTGGTATCAGTTTATGCAAGCCCCTCATCCATATTCTATCGTGCTTGTCCACTGAGTTGCAGGTGAGACGAAGCTAACTTTGGGCACATATAGACAATCATTTACGCTTACATTCATATCTATGGACATGTTAAGAGTCTTCAGTGAATGCAACATGCATTCTTTGGACAGCCAAACGCAAGCATGGTGAAAACATGCTTATGTATATCTGAATAAAACTAAAAGTTTTTTTTTTATATTAAGCAGTCTTCATAGATGTCCATCAGCTCCAAAAAAGCTCAAATATTCTGTAAATAAAAGTGAATATAAAGTAAAAATTCTAAATCTATTCGATGCACATCTGACAGATGCAATTACTCTATTTGACCGCAAGGGTGTGCTCTCAGACAAACTGAACCGATTAAGCAAGCTTGAAGAGAGGCGATTATTCAACCGCCAAAACTTTTTTCACAAATGTACTTGAGTTTAAATGTTTGTGAGCGCCACCTCCACAGAGTCTCGAGGAAGAATTCCCAGCCAGATGCGGTGAACGTTGGTAGACTGGGTTTCCTGGATTTTAGAAAACCACTGACCCTCACCCCCAGCTCACAACTCGCTGTTCACATCTCGTGAGACATACAGTGGAACATTTAAGGTCACACGCAATCTGTTGTGGAATGCTGGCTGAGTTGGTCGGATTTGCACATTCTGGAATTAGCAATGTGCACATGTATTTTTCGTCAAGTAATATTTTAACATTCCGAACAGACATACAAGTGTAAAAATAATACTTTACACAACAATAACATTTTCAAGGACACAATATGCACACATATGGATTGTTTTTCCCCCTTCTACCTAAATTTATGTTCATTATTTTGACTCAGCAGATTGGGTTGAAGAGCAGAAGCAGGTTACCATTTTGGACAGTTTTTAATGGAAGTAAATTGAATGGAACATTCTTAGCAAATGTTGACGATGGCTGGCAAGATGCTGTTCGCCCATTCCTAGTCACTCTTGGTCCCAAGCCTGGATAAAAATGGTTGGGTTGGGTCAGAAACCTTCTGACCCAGCGTGTTACTGAGCATCACACCCTTAAAAAAAAAACAAAAAAATTAAAAAAAAAAAACACACAAATTCACACATCGTCACACGTGTATGCACACAGGGGCACTACAAGGGATTTCAAGTCCACAAAAAAAATGTCTCTTTGGAATCCCTGCAGTGTAGACACACACACATACACACACACACACACACACACACACACACACACACACACACACACACACACACACACATACATGCAAGCCTTCGGTTAAGTGGGTGGTTGAGGTAGTGTTGAAATATGTAATCCAGCAGGCATTTCACCATTCAAGGAATACCTCCCAGAAGTGAGTTTGATGTTCCTGACTTCTCTGTGCAGATCACTCATTGTGCCACCTATGCCAAACTCACAGCTCACAAACTAAAATTATTCGAAAGCATTACTTAGGCTCATGAAATATTAATTGTTGGCAACAAATTGACTCTTATTGCGAAACAGATGTATGAGTCACTGAGTCACTTCCAGGATAACGTTTTTTTTTTTTTTTAAATGAATTCGAGGAATTGCTGCAGAAGGAAATGGTTTAAAATGTTTCACCAATGAAAGGTGCTGCTCGAGTAATTGCAAATGTACTTCAGTTGATTTGCCAAGATGGCTAGCTACATATCGGGTAAGCCTCCCCTTAGCCCTGGGAGATAAAACAACTTGGCACTGTACCTGATGATGACTTAGTTACGCTTTTCCCAAAAGTGTTGTGCTTTTCATAAAGGTGGAAATGAAATCAAATTAAAATATAAATACATATACAAAACTGTGACATTGATCATACATGGCCGGGAGCTCAGCCCAAGGTGAAACAAGGCAGTGCGACACCGGAACTAGAGGGTGTTCCAGCCGTGTCAGAAATCCGTGCGGTCTCAATTAATCCCCTCCAGTATTTTGTTGTTTAAAATACATGTTCAATTATTTTCTTAGCCCTTTACGTGTCAGTCAAGCCCCACTTTACCACCTGGAGAGAAAAAGAGTTGGGGCTGTACCTGTCCTGAACCTCTGAACCAAGACTCGCCCCTGGTAATTGTGTATATGTGTGTGTGTGTGTGTGTGTGTGTGTGTGTGTGTGTGTGTGTGTGTGTGCGTGTGCGTGTGCGTGTGCGTGTGAGAGAGAGAGAGAGAGAGAGAGAGAGAGAGAGATTATTTGTGCACTTATTTTCACTTTACTCAAAATTTCGCTGTAACTACTGCATTACAATGGCAATCCGGACTACTGTATTCATTTGGTGCTTAAGTAGAAAACGTACGCATCAAGGTTGCCAATGCCAACTCCTCGCCTCCTCCCCAAGGGAGGGCCCTGGTGTCCGATTTCAAAGATCACGCCACTGCTGAAACTCCGCCCTCTCCGCTGTCTTGGTTCGAATATTTAAATTGAGCCAATGCTCTCAGTGACGCTTTTGCTGCTTCCGCGCCGCCAAACACCAGAGCTCCCCCGCTGCAGTGTACCGGTAACCTCGCCCCGTCCTCCATTGGAAGCAGCAGTGACATTTCGCCTCGTTCAAGTGGGGAATAACTAGCGAGTGTCGGATATGTGGCGACTGTGCACGTGCCTCCTGATGCTTATTAATTGCTCGGCAATAACGGGTGAGAGCCTGACACACACGCACACGTCGTGAATGTCACTTGTTCGTTCGTGCTAGTTGCGTTCATGTTAATAGATGAATGGAATAAGTAGGTTTTTTTTCTAATATATATATTTTTTTCTGGGTACCAGAAAACGTAACTCCTCTCATGCTTTAAAGATGTGTTTTAAGAAAAGAAAAAGAAATGAATGATTTCGCCACCCAGTTTTTTGGGCTTCCGGTAGGCGGGGCTGTGTAGCTTCCTGCGTCATGATTGGTACAGTACATGGAAATAGAAAGTCTGAATTTATCTGTGGGCCAAAATAATGTGTGAGAGAGAATTTACGAGTACGTGTGTTATTGTGTTGAATATGAGCATGTGTATTAACCCTATAAATCAGTCATGTGTCCATTTTTTATTGAAAAAGGTTTTAAGTGGAATGTTATGTGATAATTTTTGACAAATCTAACTAACTGTTTGCTTTGTCATCAATGACATCAAGCTGAGAGAGTGTATTTCCCCTTCATAATTGGTTTGATATTCTTATATTGGCCTGTGTGGAAAAGGGGTGCCCATTTCACATATTAAGGACTTATTTTGACGAACAACCCTAGAAACTATTTAGAAACAAAGGATTAAATATATTGCTTACCATTACAGTAAATATCGTTGTTGTTGTTTTTCTCTTTCAGCCGCCGCTCTCATCTCAAGTGTTATGACACAATGTTGTACAGTGACACTGTGTGTTATGATATGAAAAAAGTTCTCATAATCAAACGGTTGTAGCTGGTACATTGTTGGACATAGCATTTTGCTGACCAAGCTGGTGCCTTAATTTCACGCCGCTAACACTGTTCCTCACCGCCAGACCATGTGTACCTCTGGAATGAATATTTTAAGAAGCACGGCGATCAAATAGTCAATGCTAGTGAGCTATTCCCATCCAACATAATCTTATTTTCATACTCTCTGACCAGTGCAGATGTACTGCATGAACACTGTGTCCCCCTGTTGGCCAAACATTTTGCTCCAAAAAGCATATTTCAGCGACGGCAGAATAGTGGCAGTCCGCTGAATGGAAGGCGAGATGCCATAACATGATTAGTTGATGTCAAGCTTCAAAGCTTGACGCAGAGTAGTAAAGCTGACTAGTCGACTAAATTATTCAACCTTTACTTTTATTTCATAACTTTTTCATCATTATCACCGCCTTTCTTTTCTGATTTGCTTTGAGGAAACAATACGACTCAACTGCCTTTCAGTGAGGCACAACGCATCCTTTTCAACTGTGTTTTCTGTTAAATAATCATGAGTCATGCATCTGAGCCACATCCTGCAGTTTCACCCACCAATTTATCTAACAAGCCCGCTACGTAGGTAGGCCTCAAGTTGGGAAATACACACGGAAGGGGGTGTGACTCACATTTTGGATGGAAAAACCACACAGAGAGATTCTTTCCAAGTTGGTTGGTTGTAATTCTAGAAGCTCCACATGGTGCTCGATCCATTGGCGCTTTTTAATTAAAACCTTGGTGATGTGTTAATCATCACACAGCTTTGTATTGTTTTGGCATTTGCTATTTGAAAATAATTTTGGGGAAAAAATGGACACAAAAGGCCATAAAGGAGGATGGTTGTATTGTGATGCACATCTGTCATTCATTCATTCGTCTTAGTTTCTGCTGTCAGATAACTGTTCTAAAGTGACTCAGCATGTTTGAATTGTTCACTTGACCTTAAATGGCAGCAATGATGGCCAGGTTCCAAGTGTGGGGTCTAAATAGCCCCCATCAATAGAGCAGCCGTCTATGTACTCTTTTGCTAGCAGCACGTAGCCTGCTGTCAAAATGAAAAAGTAGTAAGTGTGGTTTCAGACGGTACAGGAAATCATGTGTTTCATGTGAGCTTCAATAGTGAGGCAATGCTACATTAAATAGGATCAATTGTTGGTTTCAATCCTTGTTTGGATAAAACTTACAAGTTTCACACAATATACGATCAAGCTTGTTACTCACTTTAGCCGTAGGTCATATCAATGAATCCCTTTTACATTGATGATAATGTCAAGCAGTTTTTAGTAAAGAATAAAGAAAATATGTATTTTTCGTCTATATGTGAACGCTGTGCATTTAGTCAACCGCTCTTTGCTACATCAACACATCATGTAACGGCAATTCATATTGGGGAATTCCCCCCCGCCCCCCCAAAATCAGTTGGCGAAACTTGTCACTCGTAAAATCTTATGACACACTGTATGTGTCAATAAATCGTGCAGCGCAAGCTTGCACAGTACAGTTTATCCCGCCCCCATCCTGCCGTGAGCCTGTTGTAATGGAAAAGCAACAGAGGCCGTGTGGTCTGGGGCCGGGCATAGCAGAGTAGTGTGCCGTGGGGCTCTTTGAGGTTAACGGGAAAGCGGCATAAAAGATTAACACTGATGCTTAAGGACTCAAACACAAAATAAGACAACGATGGGAACCCGGAGTTTCCACAGTGACCACACGTGACACCGTCCCGTCAGCGTGAGTTTATGTGGTGCGTTTTGGGGTGCAACTGTTTTGTATGTACAAGACACACGAGGCTAACTAGGTCCTCAGTCGTTTTTCTGGCCCTTGATCCATTTCACGAGGCCACAGGGGAAAGATTAGTGATGAAAAATGACAACATTGGCCTTGTCTGCTTTTTCCTTTCTGTGAAACAAGGCCTCATTCTTGAGTTTAGTCGTGCATGACTTTTCGTCGGAAGGCAGGGTGGGTTTTGGAGCTGCTGCAAATGTTGTGGTCTGTTTGTCAGTGTACGTTAACAGAACAGCTGCACTCACTTTGGAAAGTATTCCTGTAAATGCTAAAAGGCTTCCCGCTCGACTTTTGCGTCACATGTGGGTGGGATCGAGGTTTGCTTCAAAGCAGAGGAAGGGGGGCTTGTTACAAGGGTTTTTTTTTCCATTGTTTCTCTTCGCTGGTAGCGAAGAGAAATAATGTATCTGATAATATGAAAATATTCTTCAGTTTCAGTATTGGTCAGCCAGCACTTGCCGTCTGGTTACCTTGGTGACATTGTTGTGGCACCAATCAGCAGCCAGTGAGTGGTGTGACTGTATTTCCCTCCGATTTATATTCTTAAAGGGCCAGTGTGGTGTGTTTCACAAGTGAAATGTCATGAGCCCAGACCCTTGATGAACAAATGTCAATAAATGGACCACGCGAGCCGCACGTGAATGATTTTGGTGTTCACCAAGCTTTGAGCTGCAGGCTTGCTTCGGTGTGACGATCTGAGGGCATGACCTCAAAAGTTGAAAAAAAGCAACGTCATTTCTGAGGTTGAACAAACACAAAGTGGAGCTGGGGGGGTCATTTTTACATGGTGACAACTACAGTGAAGCCTACCACACGATGTTAATTTGTTCAGATTGTACGATTGCCTCATAAAACCGGAACAGGCAATGTTTTAGGTAACATTTCAACAGCCAATGACTAGTACTTACTTGCAATGGTTTGTATTTATATTTTACAATTTTATATTTATATTATAAATTTATATATATATATATATATTTTTTATAATTTATTTTCCTTTATATACTTTTTGTTCTTCTCACTTTCATAATTTTGCTGCTGTAAAATGGGAATTTCTCCATGGTGAGACAAATAAAGGTTTTCTTGTCTCATCTTATCTTCAGCAACAAAATACTCTTGAAGCTTTCTCTTAAATTGCTTGACAACTCGGGAGAGTCACACTGTCGAACTTCAGCAGTCTCACTGAACTTAATTCTTACAAGCTTTGCTGCATGACAGTGGTTCAAATTGAAGGTGTCCTGCATGACTTGGAGTTAGGTTTTGCCATTGCATTTCAACATTTCCGCAAATGTTTTCTTTTGATTCCACACAAAGATGCATCTGAGAAAACGTACAGCCGTGAGGTTGAAATTCAAAGACTTTGGACAATTTTAAATTCAACCGGGTCCTTATAATCGATGTATCAAAATAATTACAGATCAATTTCATTATTAATAAGTTGTTGCACCTTTACTTAGAACCTATTGTGATTAGTGGAAGTACAGAGTAAACCCTTGCAGGGTAAAGCCAATAGTAAAAGGTGTTGTTTTCGCACTTTCCAGTTATCTGAAGTTCAGTGACCTTTTGATTATAATGTTCATCCTGTTTGCCAAGTTAAACATGACAACATTATCAGTATTATTGTGTGTGCGTGCGTGCGTGCGTGCGTGCGTGTGTTGACGTAAGCTCATGTTACTACCACATGCACAGAGTATTGATTTTGTTCTCATTGGTTTAACCTGCTCATTTTCTTTCTTCTTCATCCACATGCAGCATATGAATGCAGTTCCACTCAGATCAAGTGTGCGAACACCCGTTGCATCACCCGCAGGTGGGTTTGTGATGGCACCGACGACTGTGGCGATGGAACCGACGAACTGCCAGAAACCTGCGGTACGTTTTTACCTCCTTCTTGTGTCAAACTTTTCATCCATCCCTTTTGTAATCCACTTCTCCTCACGAGGGTTGCGGGCGTGCTGGTGCCTATCCCGCCTGTTTTCGGACAGTAGGCGGAGTACACCCTGAACTGGATGCCAGCCAATCGCAGGGCACACACGAGACAAACAACCATTTGCGCTCACGCACACCTAGGGACAATTTAGAGTGTTCCGTTAGCCTGCCACGCATGTTTTTGAAATCTGGGAGGAAACCGTAGAACACATTTTTATCAGCCTGGACTTTCCATGATGGAAAAGATTGTTTCAGTGAAATAATGAAACGCGGATCCCCTGATCGGATGAAGAAGATTTGTAGTCTGCACTCTAGTCTACCTAGCTAGATGGGTTTTTTTTCATTTCTTTTTTTCTTTGTTTGTGTTTTCGGGGCTTTCTGCCTATCTGCCTATCTTCCCCCCCTAGTTCATTGCATTTCAATGAGTCAAGTCATTTCCTTCCTGTTTGTTTCCTCAGAGGCCAGAAAGTGTCTAGAGTCAGAGTTTAGCTGTGGTGCCCCCCAGCATAGGTGTGTACCGCAGAACTGGCACTGCGATGGCAGCGCGGACTGTGAAAACGGCACGGACGAGGAAAACTGCAGTAAGTTACTAACTTATCTGCTTCGCAGATAGTGAACACACACAAAGTATAGATTACAGTATACTTGAATAGTTTTTTTGGGTCAGCAATTATAGAGCAGTTATCTTCCCAACTAGTGAGGATGATTTTATTTGTTAATGCAAGTATGGTTTTCCTTTCTAATTCGAGCTCTTTTTTTGGATGTCGTAATGTAAATCTAATTTACAAGGATTTTTATTGCAGGCTTACTGTCAAGTTGTTTATGTCGGCTTTGTGGGAATCCAACGTCGTCTCCGTGTTCTGTCCTGAACGCTTGCCCTCATCGGTTGACTGCTTTTGTTGGAGGCTTTCTATTTTCACACCTGACAAATGACCACAGAATCCAACATTTTTGACTGCTCGCAATTATCTCTGCATTTTCACTTGGACACGACACCCCTTCATCACAAGCTGGCCTTGAAAAATACTCTCTTATCCCAGAAAGGGAAATGCTGCTTTATTCTGTGTGGATTGCATTATACGTCACACAGCCTATATATTTTGAAATACGCTATCATAATTTTCTCAAAAATGATGAGACAACCACAGTAATAAACTATTGTCAAATACTTCTGTGGCAGTGTCACATAAATGTGAGCAGAATTATCCTCTCAGTCGATTGCCCCTACTATCAAGTAACTATGAAAACTCGGCAGATTAGCAGTGTGTTAGCATAGTGTTCGCATTCACCCAACTTCTTGCTCCCTCCTCAACCGCAGTGGCAAAGGAGTGCACGGCCCAACAGTTTCGCTGTGCTTCCGGCGAGTGCATCTCCGCCAGCTTCGTGTGCGATCACGACAACGACTGCCCGGATAGCTCCGACGAAGCTTCCTGCCCGAAACCCACCTGTAGCCCGCTAACCTTCCAGTGTAACAACACGGCGTGCATTTCCAATATCTGGCTCTGCGACGGCGACAAAGACTGCAGCGATGGCTCGGACGAGTGGCCGGAGAACTGTGCCGACAAGCAGCCCCGCAAGGAGGTTGTGGCTTGTCGGGAGCACGAGTTCCAGTGTGCTGATGGAGAGTGCATTAACGGGGGCTGGCGCTGTGACGGGAGCGCCGAGTGTTACGATCAGTCGGATGAAGTCAACTGCAGTGAGTTAATGAACGCATTTTCCGACCATTTTAGTTTTTATGACGTCCTCAGAAGGCCTTACGAAATTTTCTCGCTAAAAGTGTGATGCAACCATTGAACCAAGATCAAGGGTTTTTTTGGCTCATATGGATGATCATTTTTAAACGACTGAAGGTAAATGCGACTCTTGTTTAGCTGTTGTGGCCCAAACCGTAAGCTATGCGTCTTTCAGAAAATCTGTAAAGATTAGGAAAACGTGATATTAAAATGCATGGCAAATCCTTTATTTTAATCTGAGTCTTTTGTTATTTCATCCATTTTTTTTTTTTTTTTTTGTTTTAGCTCACCCCACCTGTTCCCCAGATGAGTTCCAGTGTAGCGACGGCACTTGTATCCACGGCAGCCGTCAGTGCGACAAAGTGCATGATTGCCCAGACTCCAGCGATGAGATCGACTGCCAAGCAGGTGACTCTTTTAATAGTGGAAGCTGACTGTTTTGTTTAGCAACCTGGAAAGCGTTTTGATGCTTCGGAAACTTCCTGGAATTTTTCCATGTTGAATGCCAATGGTGGAATGGATCATTAAAAGGCGTTGTTTGATATGAAATGAATTATATTTTGTCATGGTGATATCGAGCCCTTTAGCAATTAGATCCTTGTTCATTTACATATTAATAATCTACAGTCAGAGGCTGAGATTCAAACCACCAATCCTTATGCTAATGGGTAAGCGACTCTACCAAAGCCCAGGTGAAATAGCATGTGAAGTCATGTTAAATTGTATCGAAGGGTGTGGGATGCTCACATTGTCTGTCCCATTGGAAGTGAATGAGGAATTTTTAATGGACAATATTTAATTGTGGGAAAACTACAGGCATGTGGAAAACAGTAGCCTCGAAAGCCGTGAATTTTTGGAGTTTGTTGAACAGTGTAAATCTGATGTATGATGTGGGAGTACACGCTCGTTTCAGCATTCGCACACTAATATTGGTGGAGAATAACATGTCTCAAGGCTGAGGCCTTCCCACAATGACTGCTGCTTTTATTCACACGCATGCGCTTCTTCTGCCTAGAAAACGTGTGCGATGGCCCCGCTCAGTTCAAGTGTAGCAGCGGCGAGTGCATCAGCATGTCCAAGGTGTGCGACAAGCAGAGAGACTGTCGAGACAGTTCAGATGAACCGGTCGGACAGTGCGGTAGGTGTTCCCCTTGCTGCTCTCTTTCTCACTTTGGTTCACCGTCTCAGCTCATCGGCCGGAAAATCTGACAGGCTTGTTTGAAAGAGTAATTTGAGGAAAGGTTTGTCATTACTGGAGACTTCAGTCATTAAAAGAACTGAGTCACATCGTCTGCCTTGACAAAGATAATTGAACGTCGTGTTCATTGGCGTGCCTTTGTGGGTCTCCGCAGATCGCAATGAGTGCTTGGTCGGGAATGGCGGGTGCTCCCACGGTTGCATCGATCAGAAGCTCGGCTACAGCTGCTCCTGCCCTGTTGGGTACACATTGAAGGCAGACAAAAGAGGTTGTGAAGGTGAGCGACAGGGAAACGTGGCTGTAGGCTTGATGTATGCATGAAAGCTGACCGCAGCCTTTTGACCTCGTCACCACCCGCAGACATCGACGAATGTGTAGACCCCGACATTTGCAGTCAGATTTGCATCAACGAGCCCGGCAGCTACAAGTGTGATTGTCAAGACGGCTATGAGATTGACCCTGTCAGCAAGAAGTGCAAAGCTGCTTCAGGTAATGCTCGAAAATGTGTGCATCACGTTTAATTAATCGGACCGAAATGGAGATCACGTTTTCATCTTGTCATCACCCCCCAACTGTCTTTTCCAGGCACCACGCCCACACTTTACTTCACCAATAGGCATGATGTGAGGAAGGTGACGGTGGATCGCAGTGAGTACATGCGTGTGGTGAGCGGCCTGAAGAACGCCGTGGCTCTGGACATGGACATGGCAAACAAGATCATCTTCTGGTCCGACCTTTCGCTCAAGAAAATCTTCAGGTGAAAATTCACATTGGTTCATCTGCCTTTGGTCAAAGAGTCATAGTCATCTGCTGGGCCACTGTTTTATTTGGCTTCTCGAGTCAGTGTTATTCTAAAGACAGTTTCATTAGGGTTGAGCTAATTTTTTTATTGAGTCATTTTATCGTAGATCATGCAATATTATAAACGTGTTATAATGCTTTTGGGATTTATTGCAATTTTGTTTTTCCTCTGTAATGTGATTTTTTTTTTTTCCTTCCAAAGGTCCTGTTCACATGTATTTTTTGTTTTAACAAACAAGCAATAAAATTACAATAACAAATATCAGCTTTATTAACCAAAATGTTTTGGTCTTATAGGTCAGATTTACGCAAAGGAAAAAAAAAAAAAAAGCCAAATGAACCAGAAATTATCTGCTTCACTGCAATGTTGAATTGAATTGAATCGCTCAGCCCCACTCTCCTCCCCCGCAGCTCCGAAATCGACGCGGCTGCCAACTCCTCCCAGCCCACTGTGGTCATCGGCGATGGGATCGAGGCCCCGGAAGGCCTCGCCGTTGACTGGATCCACGGCAACATCTACTGGACCGACAGTTCTTTGCGGCACATCTCCGTGGCGACAACAGACGGCCACAAGAGAAAGACACTGATCGCCGACAATCTTCAGAAGCCGAGAGCCATCACGGTGGATCCTGTGAACAAGTGAGTGAGTTGAAGAGCTTCGTTGCTGATTGCCGCTGGGCACGATTCCAATCATCGTATGTCTTTGTCAGCTTCATGTACTGGACTGACTGGGGCGAGGAGGCGAAGATAGAAAAGAGCGGCTTGAATGGAGCCGACCGCGTTGCCTTGGTAACGGACAACATTGCCTGGCCTAATGGAATCACCCTCGGTAAGATCGCATCCATCGCTTGTCACTTGAACGCACACAAGATGAGCAAACAGCCATCGTGACCAAGCCAATGTTTCTGGTCAGACCTTATCAACCAGCGCCTCTACTGGGTAGATTCCAAGATACACACCCTGTCCAGCGTGGACGTGAACGGTGGGACCAGACATACTCTCATTCTCAGCGAAGAAAAGCTCTCGCATCCCCTCTCTCTGGCTGTCTTTGAGGTCAGTGAAGAAGTCATGTCCGAACAAAGTTTGTTGACATTGTGCATTGCATTTTTCTTCTGGAATTACTTTTGTCGACTCAGTTTTGAGCTCACCACGTTGAGCAGACTGGACTGCCATCTTTGCTTACTTTGACATAGGAAAATGCATCTCTGTTTTGTTTTTTTTGCCCCCAAATTTTATTAAATTCTAAATTGCATGACCTCAAGGGAAATTAACTTTGGAAGTTAGTGTGTGTGCGTGTGAGTGTGTAAACATTATTGCATCATTATTTTATTCTCTGCACAAACATTTTTTACTTTGGATGTTTTTATGTTTTTTTGTTCTCCATATCTGTGTGTATCATGATTTCCTTAGGTGAGAGATTTCCTTGTTTTGTTATCTTCATATTCAAGTGGCTCTTTAGTTTCACTTGCCTATACAACCATTTATAATTGGACTTTTTAGTTCTCTTGCCCATTTTTCATTTCCTTCAAATCCAGGACTTTCCATACATGCTGTAGATGGTGGCTCAGTTCGATTTTGAAATGCTGAGCGTGCACTACTTATTCATTTGGTTCGGTTTCTATACATTCCTAATGTCTTGATCACATGTCAGCAGAAAGAGACACAGACATATTGGTCAAACACTTTTTGGTTGTGCTTTTGCTATTGAATAGGATAAAGTATTTTGGACGGATACGGGCAACAATGCTGTTTTCAGTGCCAACCGAGCGACGGGACGGGACATTACAGTGCTGGCCGCTGACCTGTCCCAGCCAGAGGATATCGTCCTCTACCACAACCTCAAGCAACCAAGCGGTACGCCGAAATCACCACGGTTCAGATCAACACAAAGGAACAAAAACTTTTGTCCGATTCTTTAAACTTTTCTCTCGCATGTAGGTTACAACTGGTGCACAGAGAGGAACAGTATAAATGGAGGGTGTGAGTTCCTCTGCCTTCCTGCTCCTGTCATCAACCAGCGCTCGCCGAAATACACCTGCGCATGCCCCGATCACATGAGCATGGCGCCTGACATGAGGAAATGTGTGGCAGGTGGGTGTCTTATTTTTTATTTTTATTTATTTTTTCACAGCCGCAGTGGGCTGTGAATCAAATAGGCACTAAGTCTTATTTTCTCAATTTGTCTTTCTGCACCAGGTTCCGTAACGCTTCCAACCATAAGCAACAAGAGTGAGCCAGGCAAGGCCATTACAACAACAACAACAGCAACAACAACAACAACAACAATGACGACGGCCAAAGCTGCTGAAACAACCATGACTACCTCGCCCATCCGCCCCAGGAAACCCAAGGTCTCCCCTGCAGCCCAGCCTTCTACTCCAGCTCAAGGTACGTCACACCTACACTGGCGGTAGCTTCCCTCATGTATGTCCTAAATGGTATAAACCTGCAGAGTAAAAGTTTGTGAAATGCTTTCGGTACTTTTTGTGACTCATGGCAGAAGACAGTTTTCCCCGCTCAGTCAGGGTTGGTTCTTTGGGCACATGCTACATTGCAGAGTATTATGAATATTCTGATTATTTTTTTAAGGAAGTTAACTGTTGCAGAAGTCCCTGCTTGAGCATGGAAATCTGCGGGATTTTTTGTTTGGTTTTTTTTTTTTTTTTTTTTTTTTTTTTTTTTTTAGTGATTTGATTTTTTTAAAATGTTTGTAGGGTTTACACTGATGCCACAAGATACAAATGACACGACCTACGGGTTTTTCAGGTTATGAGCAGTCATTTGGTCCATTTTTTTTCAACAAGGTTAAAAGTATATTAGTTCTATTGTCAATATTCAAATTAAAATACAAAAACCTCTCTAAGTCCCCTATTGGTTCAGCAGAAATATGAGATACAGGAAATGGAAAAAATAGCATGCCAGAGATGTTTGTATCAGAAGTACACTGCACGATATAGAAACCTGAAATGTTGTCTGTGCATTAACTCTCCAATCCAATCAATCAGCGACATTATTTGTTATTTTGAGTACCGAGTGGTAATTTTTGACATTTGAGATCTGATTAATCTTTTCAGCATTTGAAAGCAGATTTGGTATAGGCTAATTAATCCAATAACACAATCATTTGAAAGAATTTGAGAAAACTAAACAAAGTCAGTTGAGCTGTTTTCATTTATCATATTAGCAGTATTATTTCTTGTTTGCTCTATTTTGCGTTAGGGTGTGCTAATTCTGACTTGAGATTTGCAGAATAAATGTTATCCTAAATCATATTTGTGTTATCGCTATTTATTTGAGCAATTTTGCTTCTCTAATGAATATATAATGAACCTATTTGGAAATTATACATTTTGTAAAATAGTATGAATTACAAATATTTTTACCCTTAATTTTATCTATGTGGTTACCGTGAAAGGATGCGATTGATCCCATTATATGAAATTTGGGCCATGTTTTGAAACACATTTGCATTTTAAGTAATGGGAATATAATATTAAATATGAATCAAAAATGTTGTTCGTATTGAAGCTGTTGTTTCAGGTTGTGTTTTTAAGGTCACCCAGTATAATGTACGATATTGATATGGATGGAATTGCTTTAATGATCGCCTTGTTGAGTGAAATTTTGCATCGAGATGAACAGACACGGAGATCGCCAGAGGCCCGTGGCATAAACCCCATATAACTGAAAGTATTGTTCTCTCACTTTTTCAGTCAACAGACACGCAGATGTGCCTGCAGAGGCGCAGTCGTCTCACACCGCCGCTCTCTACATCGCGATTCCAATCGGTAATTTTAACATCCTACACGTCAAGCTTCCCCTTTCTCGCCTCACATGTAAAGAACTCCCCTTCGTGCTTTCCTTCCTCTCCGCAGTGGTCATGATCATGTTGCTGTTTGGAGCGGTGTTATTGTGGAGACACTGGCGACTGAGAAACACCAACACCATGCACTTTATCAACCCCGTTTACCAGAAGACCACCGAGGACGAGATGCAAATCCGCAGGAACTCTGAAGGCTATGTCCATCTTCAGGTAACGCTCACGCTCATGTCGGCTCAACCCAGGATGGGACAAATTATTTTGCCGACGCTTGATTGTTAGTGACTTGCTGCGGTGAAATGGCGTGCATCTGCAGAGGATACGACAGCAAGGAAATGTTTGTGTATGTGAGTGAGGGACATCATTTTGCCTGTGTGCATGCTTTGCGGAGTTCGAGTGCACCATGGAAATTTGCCAACTCTTCCCCTCACATTCACAATTTACAAAGTTGCGCTTAGGCACTGAACCACTGTACCATTAGATTTCACGTAAATCGGAACTCAGCTGTACCCAAATCGGCCGGTACTAACTTCAGTAACCGTCCCTACATGTTTCCCACTTTCGATGCAGTCTCCATTTCATTTCCTGTGATGCGTAATGACACTAAAGTTGAATGTAATTGTCTTTTTCTTTTTACAGCGGCAAATGCTGAGTACGGAGGACATTGACGTTGCATGATCCCAACATGCCAAAGACATTCACTTTGATGGTTGGTTGGTTGGTTGCTGATTTTCCAGCATGAAAATGAAGCCATTTTTGTTTTTCTAGAATTATTTTATCATTGCTGTCACTTTGTTTGTGACCTCGGCGCAATCCAAAGAAGCACTAGACATTACATGAATGAAGATGGAGGATTGGGTGGGGCATACCTGCCTGCAGTATGCCACCAAGTCAAACCCTCAACATGTCATCAGAATCAGAATTTCAGAAGACAAAGCTCTTACTTGCACATCTTTTCTTTTGTGCGTGTCTGAATGTAAAGGAGGAAAAAAAAAGCCTTTTGCAACTTTTCCATAGCATATTTATTCCTGACTGCTGCCTTGTGCTACTGTAAACCGCCCAATGAAATTTTCAACACATGATTATGTCCAACAAAATGCAATGTGTGTAAACTCACTGCTGGAGAAGAGGCACACATTGGACAATGAGGTGGATACACAGAAAATCAATGCCATCATGCAGTGCAAAAAGAGTTCAACCAGAAACGGCAAACAAAATGCACGCTGGCATGTCATTCTACAATATTTATAAAACGTGTACTTAAGCAAGCTTTGTCGCGCCCCCGGCCTGCCCGTGGACACGCAGGCGGGCACACGTGTGCAGTGAACATTTCATAGACGAGGACTGGTTTACAGTTTGAGATGGGACACGGCATGCAGCTGACATTAAAAACCAATGCCGTGCCGAGTATTTTTAACAACCGGGCGAAATGGGAGCTGAACTGGCCGAGGAAAGATTTGCGCGACTTCTCAAAACCTTCGCGATCTGTGGCAATCCAGGTGACGCTTGCGGGGCTGTACAAAATGCCAGCGGGGTCCACGCTCATAAATTAGGCCATTGAGGCACTTGATTATTCATGCAAGGTACGACATATTAGTTCCAGGATTGTCCACGTGTTTGTAGCTTACAAATGAGCACCATTTCTGGTACACCTCCTGTTCCACTCATTCTCCAAAGTGTAGACCATCGTGCGCTGAATCAGTCACATCAAAAGTGGAATCTCACTCGGTCAACTTAATTCATCAGATTGGCTGGAAACGATATGGCTTTGTTCTTTCAGGATTCACACGAGATGCATTCAATTTGAATTCAAATGAATTACATAATGGACAAAATATTAACTTGAAACTGCTGCACGTGTACATATGTAAAGTATCCCTTTCAGGTTTCGTTTACTTAGTAAAAGTATGTTTGTCCTCTCTCCAGAGAGTGTTGCGCACATTTTGTTTTGTGACGTGTTATGGTCTCTTTGAATGAAGCGTTGGCGGTTTACATTCTAAATGCTTAAGCTGCTAATTTTCCTGTTAACCAAAAATGAAGAAGCTGTTTCAATTGAAGATGTCAAATGTGACTGTCGGTAATAATGAAAAAAAAATGTAAATAGTCTGGAATTATTTTATTAAACACTCTGTTGCCTTTTCTGTGTGCGCTGAAATCGGGAAATATTGAAAATTCCTGAGGTTATTTATTAATGGGGTGGATATTTGAAGGTTCCTGAATGTGTGGTGTTGTGCTAAATGCCCATACCTATTCATACTTTGGACATATTTTGAGATTTTATTTGCGGAAATTGGCTCTTGTGTAAAGAACATGGTAAGGTGGGAGGAAATATTGATCATCACTCCGTATTAAAATTTAGCATTGCCATTGTCTTATACATACAATATATCTCACACACACACACATATGTATACTGTGTGTGTGTGTGTGTGTTATATATTTCAACTTCTTAGTTATTGTCACTGTGTGAAGTTTAATTTTGAGGCAAAACTACACATTTAATGTTTCAACAAACTGAAACTTAAAATGTGTCTGACATGAATACTTTGAGCTTACTTTTACATCTTGGCTCCTATATAGTCAAACTATACATCTGTTATTTCATCTGTTCATAACTGCGTCTTTTTAAGAGAAAGTGCTGCGTGCACAAAACCTTTTTGTTTTTGTTTTTTGAGTGATGACAATCACAATTTGTTGTGGATTGTTAGGTTGTTTTTTTTTTTTTTGACTGTGTTTTTCCACTGTGAAAAGTCAGGCACATGTGCTAAGTTGTAAAGCAGAATGTGTCAACTTGTCCATAGTTTACATTGCTTGTTGATTACTATTTTTCTTTGTCAGGTAGTGTTTGTCTTTTTTGAAACAATTCAAGAAGTGTCACTGAAATACACTTGTTGTGTGTGTGTTTGTTTGTTTGTTTTGGTTTTGCCAGATAAAATTTGTGCTATAAAAGGTGTCAAAGCTTTTACTGCATCTGTGAAACTGCTTGTTTTTAAGCTTTGGGTCCTCATATTAGTAACCAGGTGCCAGATTGTGTGTGATGGTATGCATGGCATCTCCATCACTATCTAACCATCATCTCATTGATGGTGAACTCCATGCAGAGGGAGATAAAGATTCTGCAATCGGTGCCAATCATATATCCACATTCTTCGAGTGAATTGACATTGTTACTTGTTACTGATAAGACTTAGATCATCTGAAGAACACAGAACAAGAGTCTCTAAACCTGTAAACCTCCTGGTTGCCAGTCACTGCAGACAACCGGTTATTCAAACTTTTATTCACATCTATGGACAAAGAGTCATCAATGAAACCAACATGCATGTTTGTGGTATGCAGAAGGAAGCTTTAGTACCCATAGAAAATCGATGTAAACAAGGGGAAAAACAAGCAGACGCCATACAGGAGCTCCTGAGCTGAGATTCAAAGCCAGAACTTTTCAACTGTCCGCAAGATGTACTTACTACTACTAGCTCAACGTGCTCCCTAAACAGGCTTTGCAATTGTATAAAATGTATTGGCGAGAAATATCGTGAGAAATTCTAATCGTTATTTTGGGTGATTTCACATAATGTAAAAGGGGCGTTGACCCCCAACAATTTATTTTACAATAATATGTTCTATGCGGCCCCACTAGTCCAAACACAGTATTGTGATTAATGTTGCGGAGCCATTTTTATCCATATGAAAGGGTGGCCATTTTGTCACTTGCTGTCAACTGAAAATGATGTCACAGGGCTCGGGTAACACCAATCACGGCTTAGCTGTTTTCTGAATTTGATCACGTGACATCGGCAGGCTGAGTCATGATTGGTTGTTACCTGAGCCCTGAGCAACCGTGATGTCATTTAAGGGTCCAGTCCCAATTATCCCTCAATTACGCGTTCCCGTTGAGGGTGTGAGTGTGTAAATCCGGTCCTTGGGAGCTCCAATCCAACCTGTTGTAGATATTTCCCTAGTTGCAACACACCTGGTTCAAATGAGGCATTGCTGATGAGCTGATCATATCAATCAATCAGGTGTGTTGGAGTTTGGGAAACACCTAAATGAGGCTGGATTGGGAGTCCTGAGGACCGGACTTGGAACCCCCTGGTGTAAATTGTCCCAAAATGCTCTGTTATCCCGCCCACTTTGAGCCCTTATACCACACTTCTGCTGAACCTGCATTGATGCTAACTCAAGCCAAAGCATATTACCCACAAATCATTGCTGATGTGACCAAAAAAATAGCGGTAAAATTGCGACATTTGGTGGAATTCCTTTGCCTGTGCTGAAAAAGTGTTTTCAAGTGTAAGTATTGAATTCTTACATATTTTTATCATTTGTATACATATCATTTCAGTTGAAATTTTACAGTCACATATTTTGTCCTAAGACCTTCTACGCACATGGCGCAGATCGTGCAGCGGCTGCAAATAATGCATCGCAGATCCAGGCCTGGAGCCATAGCTGTCATCGTCTGTGAAGCCAAGCCCGAGTTTTTACTGCAGTTTTAATCTCATTTTAGCAGCAAAATTGCCAAAACAATAACCGGTGCTGCCATGTTGGATGTCTCAGATTCAACACAGTGGCGCAAGTCGATAACTGAACACCCACTGTCCCAATTCTGATATTTTTGCACACTCATAACCTGTTTTCTCGAACACTGCGTGCACTTCTACTATAGGTGTTGAATGAGGAATGATGAGCAAGTGGCAAAATGGCTACCCCCATCAGCATACTGTGTTTACGCTAGTAGGGCCACATAGAGCATATTGTTCAGAAAAGTTTGACGTTGACTTCTCCTTTTAAAAAGACTTGTGTGCAATCGTGAAACCAAAATGTCACAGAGAGCTAACACTTGATTCTGCAGACACGCTGCACGTTTTACCAGTTGGAATTGCTGCCTGCATGTGTGCTATGTTGTTAGTCTGGATCCGGCATCCACATTCCACAACCGTTGTTACGCCACTAGAAACAATTGACAAGGTTTTTTGTTTGTTTGTTTGTTTGTTTTAAATCAGTCCACTTTATTTGAACATTATGCACAAATGGCACCGTGCATAATTTAGGTGCAATGCCAAGGCTTTGCATCATGCAACATGCATGTGTTTTGACACATCCTAATGAGATTGTGATGTCGTTCCCAAGAGACAATGGGCAGATTCAATGCATGCTACACCTGCACCGCCCGCCCTCATCCTCCTCACCTCATGTCGACGACGACTCCCCATTGGCTGGCTGGCTGCAGGAGTGGGAGGAGACGCATCTCACGCCACTGCATCATCAACGTGGCCTGGGAGTGTCACAAAGATTAAACGGTTGAAGGTTGGGATGTACGCGTCAGCTTCCTAACAATGGTACCAATTGTTCTGATGAGAAACTTACAATAGATGTCTGCTTGGCAACCAATCAAGTTCCCTCACCTGCACTGGGGAGTAAATATGCTGTTTATTAACAGTTTATTAGCCATATGGTCATAATATACCGTATCAGCGGCAGGTGGTAAATGTTATTTCTACAATGGTTCCCAAGAGATGCTTTTAATGGAATGATTCTCATAGTGTGGCTCTTTGCACCATACAGTTCAGTTCTATTTAACTTTTTTAATACAATAAATACAACAGTATGTTGTCTTTTAGTATATATATTTTTTATCTTTATGTGCAACATTTTATACTTTCATCGTTATTCAATTGCCATTTTTTTCTGATAGTTAGGCAAAGCATTTATATTCATGCTCCATATTGTTACAGTGGCTTACAAAAATAACAAATATGCCTTTTAGGGATAAAATCCTCTATTTGTGAAGCAATGGTGCACAAAGAGGTGTTATCAGCTGGTATCGGTTTCACAATGATGCACCACACTAACTTAGCTTGTCTCACCTCGGCTGCTTTCAACAATGCATTCTTTGACTAAATCGACTTCAACGCTGACTTCTTTTCTGCTTCCCACATATTCTGTTTGTCCTTGGACAACATTCCTGTTCTCTTTTAAATTTTTATTTTTATTTTTTTATTGTTCTTGTGTATTGATTTTGAGAGATCATTTAAGAGCAGCTTCTTGGCAGCAGCTACACCCAACAAATAAAACACCTAACTGTGGTTTAATTTAAAAAAAAAAAAAAAAAAGATAAGACAGCTTTTGCTTGAAAAGGCAAAAGTAGAGATTTAAGATTCGTAAAAGGCACCGCAGTTCCCAATTCTTTAAAATTAAATCAAATGAAATAAAATTCCGAATTGTTGTTTCATTTATGAAAAGCAAAAGATGAATCCTGTTTTGCATTTTTGGTAACAAATATACTGCCCCGGCCAATTCTGTAAAATAAAGGTGAAAATGAAAAAAAACACGACTCACTATTTCAATTCAGAAGTCTTTAATCAATGTGTGTTTGTATATGTGTGCGGGGAGGGATTTCTTATTTTGTTACTTTTAACTGGGAAAACACTCTTGCTCCCGCTACTCTTCTGTTAAGAGCACTAGTTTAATGTGTAATCCGTGAATCTGATGGCTCACGTTCACAGCGTGCACGTAGTCTGTTGTTTGATGTCTACATAATCTCCGATGAGCAACAGCCAAACCCATGTAGACACAAGGAGTGAATGAGTGGGAAAGGCATCCATCTGGGCAAACACTCATGCACCTTTTTATTTCTTTTTTTTCTTTTTTTTTTTTACAGCAGGGCACTGTTGTTGCCTCACTCCACATACTACTGATAAGGCGCCATCCCAGTTACATGGATGAAGTCCATGCTCCGGATTTACATATTTACATAAATAAAGATAAACCAAAAAGTAAAAACATATCTTTCATGTTTAACCACCAGAAAGGTGGTTAAACATGAAAGATAAGAAAAACCTTTATTTGTCTCACAATGGAGAAATTCAATGGAGAAAGAGAAGCCAAAGGGGAACAATGAACAATAAAACTGAGTTTATATTGAATGCAAAGGTGGACAAATGTATTTTCGTCATGGGCCATGTCAGCCATAGCTGGTGCTAGCAACTAGTGCTAGCTAGAATGTAACGTCAATACAGTCTGATTATGCTATAAACACGAATAGTGTCATTTGTTATGAATTTTGCTGAAACTCAAAAGACGGTTAAATGCCATTGGAAGTTGCGTTTGTACCGCTTTAATTCTTTTTTTTCTCCTCTTAACAAATTACGATCCATTCTTTCTGCTATCCAGAAGCTGAGCTGCATCGTGGTTGTTTACAGACTAGTTGTGTGAGGGCCAAGGCAGCAACTTTCCCCTTATCTTGAGTGTGGGAACACGAATCGACCATCCAGCTGGAGCCTATTCCTGCCCTGGACTGGTTGAAAGGCAAGCCACATGGTATAGCATCCTAGGTGAACCTGCTGCTTGCACCAAACTCGGGCGAGTGGCCCACTGCACTGAAGGGACACACAAATACCGGTAATCATCCCATCATCAGGTTTTAAAAGCAAGTCTTTGGGGGCACATCCAGCTCTCCCCATCATTTTATGTTGCATGTTGCATATGCATGCGCACGCGCGCGTGCTGTTTGTGCGAGCGCGTGTGTGTGTGTGTGTGTGTGCGTGTGTGTGTGTGTGTGTGGAGAGTGATATTATTTTGTTTGTTGACTGCTTTGAATCAAAGTTACTCGTGTTATTTGTGTGCACGCAGCGTTCTCTAGTGGCCAACTGGAGCAGTGAACCCCCGTCTGAGGCCCAGGTGAGCCTGGTCAATGTTTCACCTGGATACGATGACGTCGCAGGGGAGCAGCAGCAGCCTTTTCTAGCAGCACGTCCAGCCAGCATTGCTTCGATGTGGATATTTTTTTCAGTTATGAGATCGATTTACTAACAGCTGTGGACTCGGATTTGAAACTTTAAACTGTTTTGCGCGTTTTCGTGAACTATGTCTCTCTCGGCTGTGTTTGTGTTGGATCTGAAGGGGAAGGTAAGCTTACATACGTCCTTGTTTTTTTTTGTGTGTGTGTGTGTGTGTGTGTGTGTGTGTGTGTGTGTGTGTGTGTGTGTGTGTGTGTGTGATGTCAAACTTTCAAACGACCGTTTTTAATACCAACGTGACGAAACATTCTTCGTCTAAATTGTACCTTTTATGCCGCGAATGTCACTTTAACTGTTAAATATTAATGGCGCAGTTAAAAATTAATTGAGCGCTCACGATACTCATTTAACCTTATTTCTCTACTTCCGGGTTGAGAGAGAGGTGTCTGAGGAGAACGCCTGCGGCTGATAAATCTGTTGCTCCTCAAAGCAAGTTGTCAAATACACATTGGTAATCAAATCTAATAAAAATATAACTTGACGGTCATGTTAGCGCCCAATTTTGTCTAAAGGTCTTATCCTTTATTCGGTGGAGTCTAGTAAAGTCTTAGTAAAGTGAAGTGATGTTTTTGTTCCTACATTCAGTAGTAGATTATACTAAATACATGACTACTCAAATCCCAATCAGAGAAGTGCACGAAATTTTGGGTCAGTCGCCGATTTCAGTTTGGTCAGATCGCATGCTAGAATTCTGTCATATTCAAAACAACGAAAAATACAAACAAAGATAAAATGTGATTTCCGTTTTGACATAAATTCAAATAGAGTTGAATAAAATAAAACATGACCCCCTTGTATGAATCCAAAACAAATGTGTCAGAAGAGGCTTTAGAACACTCTTCTTCTTCTTATAATAATAATAATAATAATAATAATAATAATAATCACACAAAGAACCCTAGGCAAGAAGGAAAATAAACACTTCTATTCTTCTAATTTTTCCAGCACACTAAACCATCTGATATGCTTCTGTGTTCAGGTGTTGATATGTCGCAATTACAAGGGTGATGTGGACATGGCGGAGATTGACCACTTCATGCCTCTGCTCATGCAGCACGACGACGAAGGGCTTACGTGTCCTGTAATGTCACACGGCAACGTTCACTTCATGTGGATCAAACACAGCAACCTCTACTGTATCCTTCACCTGCTTTTGTTCTATGGAGACCACAGAAACTTTCAACTGCGACGAGTTATAAATGAGTTCACATGCGGATCACAAGGTCCAATAAAAGACATTCTGTGACTTAAAAGAGCCCAAATCCTACAACTACCTTTCAGTATGTAGCAGTACACTTCGACACACTGCAAATGACAACCACCGTCGTAAACACCTTGTTAAGTGAATAGCTCTCTGAAGGTGCCAAAGCATCATGACAGCATTTTGTCAAATAGGATACACTAATCCACACTTTCCCCCAATTAACAGCCAGATTTGCGATATCCTTGAATCAATCCAGCTGGATCTCAGTGACTGACAATATCCCAAAAATGTACATTAACTTCAGTAGATCAATGCAAAAAGTGGAATTCATACAGATTCATTCACACAGAAAAATACGTGTTTTGTATGGACTGACAGTACTTTGCTGTGTACCATATGGTGTTTTTCGAGTACGTAGTTGTCTCCATGGTAGATAGTCAGCACTGTGTAAAAGCTCCTTGACTTGATGTTCCTGCAGTGGTGGCCACAACAAACAAGAACTCAAACGCCTCACTCGTGTACTCCTTCCTCTATAAACTTGTCGAGGTGAGCGCATTTCCTTTATTGTTTGGTTTATTTGTTTGTTGTTTTTCCAGTCACATTGGAAATCAACCAGAAAAGTGACTCATTGCACAGTTATTTTCTGCTATCTGCAGGTGTTTACGGAGTATTTTAAGGAGCTGGAGGAGGAGAGCATTCAAGACAACTTTGTGGTTGTCTACGAGCTCCTGGACGAGTTGATGGATTTTGGATTTCCTCAGACTACCGACAGCAAAATCCTTCAGGAGTGAGGCTCAGCCAGACATACACGGATAATCTCCTGACTAGAATTGCGCGACAAATGCAGTGGTCATCTTGTCTTTTTGTGTAGATACATTACACAGGAGGGTGCCAAACTTGAGGTGGCAAAGTCGAAGGTGCCGACCACGGTCACCAACGCTGTTTCCTGGAGGTCCGAGGGTATCAAATACAAGAAGAATGAAGTCTTTATCGACGTCATCGAGTCCATCAATGTGTTGGTGAGTTTATATTTCAACAAGCCAAATTATACAACTGAAAATTAAAATTTAAGCACTTCTTTTTTGTGGGGGGTGAATTATAGTAGTCTAGGGCAGTTCGAAAGTTCAGGGTTCTAAACTCGGCCATGGCCTTCCTGAAGTTAACATGTTCTTATGCTTGTGTGATTTTTTTTTTTTTCCAGGCTACTCTAAATTGTCCATGTTGGTGCTAATGTGAGTCTGATTGGTTGTTGGCTGGCGACCAGTCCAGTGTGTACCAAAGACCAAGTCCAAAATTTTGGGGTGCTGACAAACTCGGACTTGGTTTTCAGAAATTACTGTATGTGAAATGAATCACTAAGACAGCTTTTTGCCAGCTGAAAAACAAACACACAACCAAATTGAAAGGTTGCATGTTGCCAGCAGACCAGGAGACACTTATCCATTTTTTTTATCTCCAGTAGACTTGATTATTGTATTAAGTGCCATAAAAATAGTGCTGCCTTGCTTCGAGTATTTTATAAGAAAGAGACAAAACGACTTAGGAATAGGAATTGGCCCTTCAAAAAGGATTTTCCCATGCTTATCCTGTGTATAAGGAATTTCTATTTTTGAATCTGAGATAAATTAACTTTTGTACCGTAATTCTAATATAATGAGATACACATTTTCTTTTTTTCAACTTTGTGTATTCAGGTGAATGCAAACGGCAGTGTGATGAGCAGCGACATTGTGGGCAGCATCAAATTGAAGACCATGCTGTCAGGGATGCCCGAACTGCGACTCGGTCTCAACGACAGAGTGCTCTTTGCGCTCACCGGACGTACGTACGCCGCAAAAAGGCCATTGCGAATCCGCCGTGGCGAATTATTTGACGGTTTTTGTCGTCTGTTTAGGTGACAAGGGCAAGACAGTGGTGATGGAAGATGTGAAGTTCCACCAGTGTGTACGGCTGTCACGCTTCGAGAACGACCGCACCATCTCCTTTATTCCGCCGGATGGGGAGTCTGAGCTTATGTCCTACCGCATCAATACCCACGTTAGTCCCTTTTACAACCTAATATCACACACTATGGTGCATCTCCATTTGGTTTGGATTCAGAAAAAAAATTACCCCCAGGAAATGGATACGAGTCAAACTGTAACCATCATATTTTATTTCTCTGTATTATATTCAGTCTATTTATTTGAGTAGAAAAGTGCAAAACTGCGCCGGAACTACACCCAATTTAGCACAATGCTAATTTCCATTTGCCGTCCCATTCAGGAAACATCAAGCACATACATATACAGTATACACAACAATTCTTTTTGAGATTTTATGTATCTAAACAGGCATTTTAAAGCAACCTATTAACATCCTTAATGGCCTTACAAAGTCAATAAAAAAGCAATAAAACACTCGGAACTTCAGGGGCCAAATGGCAACGTAATTGGCAGGTGCCTAGCAGATGTCCATTAAGCATCTCAATTTTTAATACTAATAATAATCGCAGCTTAGATTCATGTAGTAAACAGACGCTGAGTGATATTTTTATGGGTTGTCAAGCTCAATATACACACAGCACACTTTTTTAAATTCAATTATATTATTCTTATTATTACATTTGGCATAGGAGTAGAAAAGGTTAACCTACGGTTTAGTGTAATAAAAACGTTTTTTAAAAATGCAGTTGTGCGATCTTGCCCGGTGGTCCAGTGGTTAGCGCATCGACCTCACAGTGCGGCGGTACTGGGTTCAATTCCAGCTCCGGCCTCCCTGTGTGGAGTTTGCATGTTCTCCCCGGGCCTGCGTGGGTTTTCTCCGAGTACTCCGTTTTCCTCCCACATTCCAAAAACATGCGTGGCAGGCGGATTGAACACTCTAAATTGTCCCTTGGTGTGAGTGTGAGCGCGGATGGTTGTTTGTCTCTGTGTGCCCTGCGACTGGCTGGCAACCGGTTCAGGGTGTCCCCCGCCTACTGCCCGAAGACGGCTGGGATAGGCTCCAGCACCCGCCGCGACCCTTGTGAGGAAAAGCGGATCGGAAAATGGATGGATGGATAGTTGTGCTTTCAGAACAATTTACAAGGGGTATGTTTATTCTACTTTGAATAGTTCTTTTTTTTTTCATATTCTTCTCTGAATCGCTTAGTCTTTTGAAAGGTGTTGCAAATAAAGCTAAAGGAAAAGCCGCAAATGGGCGCAGACTAATAATTCGTTGATGCACGTTGAACTGCACTCTTGGGACGTATGCCAGCATCTTGAGTGATTTGACGGTTATCCAAAGAAGATGCAAATTTTTCTGCAAATATTTTGGTTAAATTGGTAAGACCTCTTGGTCGCTCAACTTCAGAGGTTCCCCTGTCTTATTTACGACTTAACACTGATAGGTTGTTCATGTCTAATGACGCTCATTTGCATGGAGAATAACAACCAAAATTGTTGCAACGACTTCATATTAATAACTTCACCATATCAGCATTTGTTCAACAATCGATTCCACTTTTTTTTTAAACCGAGGATGATTTGTAGTTGTTACATTTGGGTGCTTGCTCGCCAATGACGAATACCGATACTTGATAATGACATTACATCCTGTCATATTGATAAAATAGTTTTTAAAAATGTTTCTTATTTAAAGGTTTATATTGCAATGTCAATGCTGTTCTCCTTCCCGTCTGTTGCGTTGGTCATTGCGTGTTAGTGAACGCTAAGAAGCCTTTTGTAAGTTCAAGCTTGGTGTGTAATCATTTTTATTCTGTGTTAGTTTTACTGTAAACTTCTTCTTTTTCTTTTTGTCTTTCACTCTTTTGATGTTGACGTGTTCAATTGTCATCTGTCATAGGTGAAACCGCTGATATGGATTGAATCAATCATTGAGAAGTTCTCTCACAGCCGAGTGGAAATCATGGTGAAGGTGCGGAGCCCGAAACAGTTTCAAACGTTTGCTGAGCTCGTCATGAAAAGCTTTCATTTTCCATGTCGTGCTGCGTCATTATTGTTTTGTCATACTTTAGGCAAAGGGCCAGTTTAAAAAACAATCTGTGGCAAACAACGTGGAGGTTAGAATTCCTGTCCCCAGTGATGCCGACTCTCCCAAATTCAAAACCAGTACGGGCAATGCCAAATATGTACCAGAGAAGAATTGGGTGGTGTGGACCATCAAATCTTTCCCAGTAAGAAATATCTTTGACCTTTTTTTTGTGTATATGTTTGTGTTTTTGTCGAGAATTATTTCTTGTTTTTTGTTTGTTTAAAAATTAAAACTCCACTTACTTTTCCTTGCATATGGCTAGCATCGGGCATTATCCACGCGAACCCCAAATCACCACTTTGCAAAAAAAAAAAAAAAAACCAACAACAACAAAAAACAGCATGTTTGTTGAGCTGCTGACAAAGACATAAGCCCTTTTCTACACTTAAGATTAGTCAGTCATTTATAAAGATGACAGACCCGTGTGAGGACCGACCAGTAGTATACTGTGTATTAAAAATATGAAACACTCCAAATTTGGACATCAAAGGTTTGTACCTGACAGTGATGATGTTTTATTCCAGTTTATTTATGTTTTCTTTCAATTTTGCTCTCACAAAAACTTTGTCCATCTCCGTAGGGAGGCAAAGAGTTTCTAATGAGGGCCCACTTTGGTCTACCCAGTGTGGAGAATGATGAGCTTGAGGGCAAACCTCCCATTACTGTCAAATTTGAAATCCCTTACTTCACAGTCTCTGGAATACAGGTATGCTGTTTAATTGCGATAAATTGCCTGAGTGCGAAGTAGCGTACACTCGTGAAGCATTTTGGTGTGGGTTGGGTGCCAAGTCATGTGCATTGAATTCGGCCTGACAGATGAAATGCAAAATCAATTGCAGACCCTCCACACCATGTGTTTGACTCATGTTTTGAACAGGTGCGATACATGAAGATCATAGAAAAAAGTGGTTACCAAGCCTTGCCGTGGGTCCGTTACATTACGCAAAGTGGAGGTAATTGAGTATTTTATTTTATTTATGATTGATAGTAGTCTATCCGGACGTGCAATGTACTGGACAAAGTATATGCTCACTTGTTTTTTATCATGTGTGGTACACAAGCATGATAATATACTCCATATCATTAAAAAAAAAAAGATATAGCTCTCTGTATGTATTGAATTGGAGTATAGTGTTTAGAACAGGGGTCACCAAGCTTTTTGGTACTGAGCAATACTTCTGGGCTACTGATGAGTGCAAAGGTCTACCAATCGAGGTGTGTAATTAAACAATGAATTGTCAAGTAATCACTAAATTAATTCACAACTATTTTGAGAATTGATTCATCGTTTTGAGTCATTGTTTTCCTTAAAATGTTTGAAATTCTTTGATTTCAGCCTCACAAAAGACAAAAAATATAAATAAGACGTTTGCAAACATCTGCTCATACTTTGGAAAACAAACAACAAACAATTTAACACTTTCGCCTGTTTTCTACATGTTACGGACCAGTCCCCAACCTGGCTGGTGACTCCTGTGTTAGATATTTAGATATTCATCCAAATATAATGAACATTTTTTTTTTCTTTGTTTCCTTTTTTTTTTTGTTTTAGATTACCAGCTGCGGACCAATATGTAAAGGAAGAAGAGCAGTTCATACTAGTAATCCCATGAACTTGTGGACACAGAGACTGCCTTTTCAATTTCAGCTGAGCTATTTAGTGGCTCTGATTTGATTATTGAAAAGGAAGTGGATTTTAATTCTGTAATGAAGTGAATTTTAATTATTTTGAATATTGAAAGCTTCCAAAAACAAATAAAGCACCTGTTTATTCAAATTATTCCGATTGTAATCAGTACCATTTCCCTTGAACTACTGGACTATGAGGATGTCTCAATTTCACCTGAGCTATTTATTAATGTCGTTGATATTGATTCTTGAAATCTATGTGGATGGGGGGGGATTTGTATTATTCTGGGTGTTAAACCTTAATGAAAAAGAAATCACAATTTTTCCATGATTGCTTGTCCTCATTAGGGTTGCGGGTGAGCTGGAGGCTCTCAGATCTGATTTTGGGTGAGAAGCCAGGGTACAGGTCGCCAGTCAATTGCATGGCATACACTGACAAACAACCATTCATATTCGCATTCAAAAAAAAATATTTAAATGATTCCAGTTGCCATCAGTACCGTTTTGGTGGTATCGCTTCATTTCATGCTGCCCTGAGTTTCCAATATATATTCTATTCGGATAATATTGCAGTTTTGCAGTATTGCATCGTGGTTTTTTTTAAGTGGTGGAATTCCAGATGCTTGTCTTGTGTAAAAGGCCAGAAATGAATGAAGTTCCTCCACAAACATTAACGTAAACGAATCGGCCGCTTACTTCAAAACGGGTTCTGATTGGCCGACTCCCACAGTTGCCACGGTGATAGTGTAGTAACGGATCCTTGGCCCCGCCTCTTTACCATATATGACAAGACCCCACCCTCTTAGTGAGCCGTGATTGGTCGACGCGTGCTCCTCTTCACTGTTTGTAAATGGTACGCTCGAGACGTATCTGTGTGGCACTCAGCGCGCAAATGTATTTTCCGAACGTCCATAAACATTTACCGGTCGTCTTATATTTCATTAATAACCTTGCTTGAGGACGTACGACGAGGAGAGCTCGGCGACGTCGACAACCCCAAAACAAGCCACCAAGGTAGGCTTTTAAACCTCCTCTTCGCCGCTCTCTTTATGTTAGCCGTTAGCCTGCGGGCTAATCGCCGTCAAAGATTCCGTTGACGTGCCACCGCCGCGATAGGGACGAAAGGAGCCGAACCAAAGTTATCCTCGGACCGAGTTTCTTCTTTTTTTTCTGAGACGTCTCTCCGTCCTTCCTGGTCTGCTCTCCATAGAGCAGACGTGAACGAGGCCGACATGGTTCAGATGCACGGCGCCCGAGGGTTGACGGGAGCGGCGGCCAGGGGGAACCTCGGTGAGGTGCGGAGGATCCTGGAGGAATGCAGGCTGCATCCCGATACTGTCAACGAGTTCGGCAGGACGGCGCTACAGGTGAAATGCAGAGCGTGCTGGCAGTTTGGAATAAGTACTGCGTCTTTTCCATATCATAGTTTGAGCGTTTGAGTTGTCGTTGATATCCAGTTTAAGGTCCACGTACTAGCACACCCTTTTGTAACGAAAATCCGAAACAATATATTTTTCTTCTGTTCTTATAGTTTATAGTTTTACAGTCTTTCGCGAGCAAACTCGTTTGCGTAAAAATATTGACGACATTCCATTGGATGAAGTTCTACAAAATGCCCTTATAGTCTGAACAAAAGAGGAAAAAATGCGTATTTAAGTTGATGTGGAGCGAAAGATTCATGTGACTGATGCAATAATTCCACATTCTGATCCATTGTCTGTATCCTGAGACTCCAGACTACTCTTTGTATTCTCTCTATAGCTTGTTCTCATTAGGGTTGTTTGTGAGCCTAATCAGCTGACTTTGGGCAAGAAGCAGGAGACCCTATACTGGTCGCCTGACAGTCGTGCAGGGCACAAATGGACAACCAGCCGCTCACATTCACATTTTTGGACAGTTTAGTGTTCTCACTGAGCCTAATTTATGCCCATGGGCGCGTGTACATAGAGTACACTTACACAAAATGAGGAAGCGCATGCAAACTCAAACATGAAGGCTGCAACTGAAATTTGAATCCAGAACCTGAGAACTGAAAGGCAGACGTGGGGTCACTTTGCTACAGTGGTGACTCAATGGCAAAGACTAAATCTGTTACCAGAGTCAAAATGTAGCCACCATAAAACAGTACAGGTGATATTTTAAAGTTTTTACTTTACACCGGTTAGCAGCAAATTATAATCAGAGATGGCTTGATGTGTCCATAAATGTATTTTCGATGCAAATTTCAAAACTGTCTTGACTTTTTCTAGCATATCGGCTTTTTGAGACATTTTCATTTTCTCGTTTTTATATTTGACGTTGTGCAGTACTGAATTTACCTTGAGTTGTAATGCAGCCATGACGTTTCCCCCCCACCAAAAATCCACATTTTGCTAAATCTAATCCTGAATTCATAAATGTCACGAAATATATTTTATATTATTATTATTATGAGTTTTATTCTTAGCATTATTATTATTGACCTCATGGGCTAGAGAAAATGAGGGCAAATTCTGAATCAGTGCAAAAAAAGAAATGAAAAAGAGTTGAGTTGCATCTCTGATTTTATATGCTTTGTGGGTTGATGCATTAGGTTTATTGAATTGTCCACGGGTGTGAATGTGGGCGTGAACAAATTGCTGGTCTCTGTGTGCCCTGCAATTGACTTGCATCTATCTCAGAGTGTGCACCAGTAATTGGTTTAATATGTTTCTTATTTTGGCCTGTTGGTCCCCTTGCTTCTGTCAGTGCCCGAGAAGAGACGAGAGTTGTGTCAGGTCGACTCTGTGTGGTGACGCAGGCGGAAAGCACACCTCACGCAGTGTTGTTTGTTGCGCAGGTGATGATGATGGGCAACACCAGGGTAGCCCGCCTGCTCCTGGAAAGAGGAGCTGATCCCAACGTTCAGGACGCGGGCGGAACAGCTCCGGTCCACGACGCCGCCCGCACGGGCTTCGTGGACACGCTGAAGGTCCTGGTGGAGCACGGCGCCTCGGTGAACGTGGCGGACCACGGAGGCGCCCTGCCCATCCACTTGGCCATCCGAGAGGGCCACCACCGTGCCGTGGAGTTCCTGGCGCCGCTCTCCGACCTGGGCCGCGCCAACGCCCGCGGGCAGACGGCCGTAGACGTGGCCCGGGCGGCTCACCGCCCTGACATGATCCGTCTGCTGTTCGCTCACATCCATTCGTAGTTTGGGCCGCGCGTCTTCCTTTTCCTGTTCAAACCTGGTGACTTGAATTCATTGGCATCTACGTAAGTTTTTTTGTGTTTTGTTCTTAGCTTGACGTTCAGACATGATGCACTTGTTATGTGGTCATGGCAGCTACTTTTCAGTTGGTTCTTTTGCACAGTGCAATGTAGGCACCTTATTTACTAAAACATATTTATCTCTTTGAATGGGGAGTGCACATTAGTTTGATCTCCTCCAAGTGGTTTGTGTTTATTTGTAACAATTGATTTGTTTGTCTTGTTTTTTTTTTTTTATGTTATGAAACTTGAAATGAATTTACACTCCTTGCATGAAATTAGATGAGTTTAGACCTTAAATTATTTATTGTTGTTGATATAGCAGTGATGATTCTTTGAATTTTTTTTGGGAAATGTTATTTATACTGAGAGTACTTTTAATACGCAAGTGGAAGAATTCAGTTTGTTGTTTGAAGATGAAAGCACAAAATAAAGGAACTTTTGAAGTCAAAACTGCCCTGTGCATGTTTCACTTCAGTTCTTTAATAACCTATACAGAATAAGGACAGCAAAACACCAATACCAAAATGAGAAGTACTCACTGCGGGCTTTCACTTGTGTAGCTCTTTTCCACCCGCAAGGCACTCAGAGCGCTTCACACCGACTTCTCCTCCACCACCGGTGACGCGGCATCACGATCGACTGGGGCTTCGGTGTTTTGCTTCTGGACACTTTGACGTGGTCACAAGGGCCTGGGGATCGAAACCACAACCTCTGCGTTGGGAGATGACCAGTCTACCCCTGAGCCACGAAAAAAGTTGTTTCTTCCAACTGTGACAATTTGTCCCAAAGTAACGGTGGACAAGGAGAACCTGGTTTACTTTCTTACGCCTGTAAGTATACGTCAGTACCGGTGACGACCAAACAGGTGTGCACCTGGCCGCTAGGTAGAACTGCATGACTTCACAGTGGTGTCGAGGGCATACTTGGTTGACTGGGTGTGTGTGAACACGCTCTGGATAAACAGTGTTTGTGGTTTCTTCTGCATGTTGGTCAACACAGCATAGACACGCAACGGAATTGCTCATACAAAATGTTGCCTGCGAGGATACGCCCTGTCAACCGTGTGGGAGCTTGTCGAGTGCGGACAATGGCGAGGATGTGTCCTTTCATTTCGTGTCTGCTAATGTTTTCCAATCTATTTAAAGCCTTTCGGGGACAGCGGTTACTACAGTGGACAGTTTACCACGTTATCAGGTTACATGGTGCGTGAAAGGGTTAATATATCCAGATTAAGTAAATAAACATTTTTTTATAAACTGTACACCAGGGGTGCCGATTTCGTCGATCGCGATCGACTGGTTGCTGGCGGACTGGTCCCAAGTTGATTGCGAAGGGTGTAGAGGAAAAAACAAGCAAACAAATATTTATCTCTGTGCATGTCAGTAATGTACATTTTGTGTTCATGCACACTTGCACAAAAAGTATATTTAAAAAAAAAAAAATAAAGCTGGTCACCTTTAACCTACGGCGGTGCGTGACCTGCGTCACCGGAAGTTGTTAGCGCTTAGCTTTCTGCAATTACAGCTTGCAATCAGAACTGTTGCGATATAGCTTTTCTTCTTCTTCTTCTTATTATTATCAGTCAAATTTCGTTTTGTGTACATTTCACCGATGGCACTCGCAAAGAATGGCAATCTGGAGGCCGAGAGAAGCATTTTAAAACGGTATGAGTGAGCTACGCTAGTTAACAGGCTGCAAAAGTGAGTCGCATGCGTCAGGTCTCCCACAAAGGAAATCCTTTTCACAAACTCATCAATTCTTGTGTGTACTTTATTTTTCTGTTTTGTTCATCTTTGGGGGCGTTGTGGCTGTTGCTCATCATGGCATGCGGGGCAAAGGGCGTGCGTGGTAATGTGTCGATCGTGGGAGGTTGGTTGATCGAAATGTCGATCCTCGGTCAAAAAGGTGTGGGCACACCTGCTGTACACTGGCTACATTGCACCAACAAATGGCTGACAAGGAAAAGAAACATAAGACAATTGTAGTCACACATTACATCTGTCTTATTTTCACAGAAATATCTGCCGAGAACAAGAACGTTCACGTTGAGAGCATTGGGCGCAGTGTACGGCTTTACTGTATTCCTGAGGTATGTTTGCAAACTGATCTGGTCTTACACATGCAAGTCACAACATGACTATGCTGCAGCCTAGACTGAATACGCATTAACCCAAAGTTCCGGTTTGATGCTGGTGCCACATAATAACATCAAAAACAACAATGACATCTTGTAGTTCCCTCGTGGAAGGGGACACATGCTAACTGTGAATAGTGGAAAACATTACAAAGCGTTACGAAAGTTTTTTTTTTTCCACTGTTTATAAAATGCTGCAGAGGTAGGAAATGACAAAACAGAACGCAAACCAACTTGCTCTGTAGGATATAATGGATCTAAATATTTTAAAAAATAGAGCGTTTAAAGTACCACCGCATCTTTCTCACACTTATTGGCTTGTTTTAAATGTCTGTCAAAAAAAAAACAAAAAAAAAACTTTTATTCTGGGAGGAGCTAAAGCAGCTATTTAAGGTGGAAGAACTTTAAAATATACACCTTGACAGCTCAAGAAACTAGGCGAGTTACCAAAACAAAGCAAGTTGTTTTCTCCAAGACAATTGCTCAGTTGTTTTTGCTCAATGTTTATATTGGTGGAAGTTTGTTGACTTTAATTTTTTTTTTTTGAACAGTATGAATTCGGTGTTGCTCTGCCCGGTTGAACAGAAGAACACATCGTGTATTATGTCATGCAAAGAAAAGCTCCCTTCACGGTTCCACTCCGCTTGTTTGCCACCTGAAAGGCGGCAATGTGACACTGTGGGAAACACTCATTGCCCCCTCAACCCCCAAAAGACCCTACGCAGTTAAAAACTGTGCTTAGCTGTTGCAAAGAAAGGCACAAAACAATCGGAACACTGTGTTTCACTCTTGTATCACATCGAGGCAACTTTTGGGGCATTTCAAACTGTAAACAAATAACCAGTCACAATATTATGGCCATTTGACATTGAAACAAACGTGACACTTTTTGGACAGAAATAATCATATTTTACATTACAAATGACAAATTTCAACATAAGTTTAAAGTATGGATTTCCTCACCTTTTGGAAGCGACAAAGTTGTATGATACTTGCTTGGTACATATAGTGTGTGTGTGTGTGTGTGTGTGTGTGTGTGTGTGTGTGGTTAAGAAAAACGTAAATAATATATCAACAGAAAATTTAAAAAAAAGCTTATTTACCCCCCTCGGGTCATTTCAAGATTCACACTTCAAGGTTCAAGTGACCCAATTCGATGGCCCAATCCCATTGCCTCCCACAACAAACAAAAAAAAAAAAAATGCAGGCTGGCTCTTTCTAGTGTTCATAAAATGCCTCCTTTTTGGGTCGAAAAGTTGTCATGTTTTGAAAATAACGATAACATTTTCTTGAAACAAAGTCATAATATTACTAGGTGAAAAAAAAAAAAAATCAAACAAATCATGTGAAAACAGAAATTTCTTTTTCAATTTGAGATTTTGCAGGTGGCAGATTGCCATTCAGTTGACAACTCCACCCACAAAGTCGATCCTCGAACCGCAGCCTCGGGCGTCATGGTGCCATGTGTGTGCATGGGACACCCTTACCTTCGAACGGAAAAATCAGGTGTACGCCGCTACGCTATCCATGAAATAATTGGGCGCATGTATGTGCTGTGTAAATCCATCCCTAATGAGTCAAGTTGGACTTTTGAATCGACTCAGCTACTAGTTTTGAATCGACTCAGCTACTAGTCAACCTCGTGCGCGCGTGCGATGGTAACAACTCCAGCAGGTTTTCCTCCGCGACGAGCCCACTGGTTGTCAACAGAGGACAATCGGCTACCTCCACAGGTAAAGCGTCCAGGCGGTTTCCTTTGAGCTCCAGTCGGATGAGTTGGGCCAAGTTGGCCACCCTGGAGCTCAGGTAAAACAAACAGTTGTTTCCGAGAATCAAAGTCTTCAGTCTTTTACAGGAGAACAGCTCATCCGGTAGGGTCTCTAACGAGTTGAATGCGGCGGAGAAGAAGTGGAGGCCCTGCAGGATGCCCACCTCGGGTGGGATGGCGGTGAGTTGGTTGTGCGAGACGTCCAGGTGCCTCAGCTTGGTGCAGTAGAACATTCGCGGCGACAGCTTCCGCAGTTTATTCCAGCTGACGTCCAGAGTCTCCAGCATGTGCAGCTTGCTGATGTGATCGGGGATGTAGGTGATCTTGTTGTGCCACAGGCGCAGCGTCGCCAGCCGCTGGCAGTGCTGCAGGCTCAGGATCTCTTCCACGGTGGTCAGCTTGTTTTCTTTCAAATCCAACTCCTGCAGGTTGCTCAGGCTGAAGACGGCGCTCGGGATACGCTCCAACTCGCAGCCCACCAGCTCCAGCGAGACTAAGTTGGTCAGCTTCTTCAGGCTGCTGTAGCCTTGAATCTTGGTGCCTTCGTTGTAGATGCTCAAACGCTGCAGCTGCTGCGCGACGTCGCAGATGCTCGCCGGGATCTTCGTCAGGTTGGAGCGCAGGGTGAGGGTCCTCAGGGCTGCAAGCTCTCGAAGGGAGTCCAGGGTGGCACTTCGAGCCACTTCGTTGGTAAGCGGGCCGTTCAGATGCAGCTCCTCCAGCCTTTGCAGGTGGTACATCCATTCAGGGACCTCATCTAGACTTTGAAAGCTCAGGCGCAGGTACTTCAAATGTTCTTTGAGGTGGTTTAAAGCGGGCAGCTGGACCTTAGCCTGGCAGTATATCAGCGACAGATCCTGAAGACTCTCGAGCTTAGCCACGCTGGGCGAAATGGAGACATTTTTAACCTGCTCCAATTTCAGCGACTCGATCTCCGGCAGCTCATAAACCGTATCGGGAAGTCCCGGCAACAGAACCAGGTGGAGCTCCTGTCGGTCATTGGCGTTCTTAGCCAGCCGGGCGCGCAGCTTTTTGGCGGTCCACTCGTAGTTGAGGTTGAGCTGATGGAGTCGGCTCTCGCTCACCTCGGACAGAAAGAAAGCAAATCGTTTGGCGTAGAGGTCGTCGTATTGGTCCACCAGGTGGAGCAGGAAGGCAAAATCATTCTTCACGTCCGGTATGTCGTTGATGCCCGTCTCTAGCCTGACGTGCTCAAAGGAGTAGATCCTCAATGGGCGGTGGAACTGCCAGTACAGCGTGTAGATGCACAAAATCCCGTAGACGGCCACAAAGCAAATGTAGCAATAGGCCAGTTTGGAGAAGAGGTGAGCTTTGTTGTGGTTACAGCAGAAAATATCAAAACCGGTCAGCTCGGGTGGAACCAAACAGCGTACCACAATCTCAATGTTTGGAGACAGTGCCGCGGTGTAGGTGATGATTAAAAGAAACTTGAAGACCTTGAGGGACGTTTGCAGCACATACATAATGTACAAGATGTCCGCCTCCTCCACGTGAGTTCGGAACTTTTTCACTTTCTCAAACAGGGCCTTCGCCTGCTCTCCTTCTTTTTTGTCCAACACGGACGGCGCCGACTGAGACTCTTGAGTCTTCTTATCTGGATTAGACCTGCAGGAGGTGGACCGCTGAAGCAAGGTGGTCTCCTCCTCGTCGGCTCGTCTCTCCGTGGGATCTTTGGATACGGTGTTTCTCCTCCAGCTGACCAACTTTTCCTCGCCCCTTTCCTCAGAAACCTCACTCAAGGCCCTGGTGGTCCAGGGGGAGTCGAAGCATTTTCCCAGGATGGTGACAAAGAGGTCCAGTTTGGAGGACGTCCCGGGGAACTTGAACCAAAAGCTGCTGGTTACCATGAAAATCATGGTGTGGATCACCACCAGGTATGGGAAGTATTTCGCATACCAGTGCACAAAGCGCTCGTAGCAGTAATGGTTGATGAAGACATACTGGTGGATGTCCAGGTCATTCTTGCGACCGAGCACCTCCCGTATGACGGGATGGCTTGGCTTTATATTGAGGCTCTCCCACGTCTGGTTCTTGCCGTAGTTGCGGATGTGGCTGCAGTCGATGGCGCTGGGCGTCGGACTGGTCAATGGACTCGGCAGGCAAGCGATTTTGTCTTGGGTGAGCTGAAGAGAAAGGACGGAAGGATTATTGGGGGACGGGGAAGAGCGGCCCTGTCAAAGTAATTGTCAATATCCAAATTCTGTTTCCACTCTTGCAATTATCGAGCTGTTTTCTGATCGCCGACCTCATGTAACGCTTTATGATCTTTATATTATGCAGACAGCCCACTGAAAGTATGTGGAAGGTTCACTTAGCCAGTGGTAGCTTCATTGTACACTATCTTTGCCAAAATGTAGGTTTACGATAAAGACTGAAGATATGCGGGAATCCTACATTCATTTCGAAAGCCTGAGTTCATCTTTCTAAAGTTTATAACGTAATGACTCCAAAATCTAAGAATGGGGAAGTACAAGATGTACTTTCCACCACAGCAGCCAAACTTTACGATAAGGACTTTCCATTTACGAATGGAAAAGTACTCGCTTTATCAAAACTAGTTAAATTATTTCCAATTGAAGTAATGAGGACGTGTTCGAGATATTTTTTCTATCTGTCCATCCATCTATTTTCTAATCCGCTTATCCTCACGACGGTCGCGGGCGTGCCGGAGCCTATCCCAGATGTCTTCGGGCAGAAGGCGGGGGACACCCTGAACCGGTTGCCAGCTAATCTCAGGGCACACAAAGACGAACAACCATCCGCGCTCACATTCAGACCTAGGGACAATTTAGAGTGTGCCATGAACCTGCCATGCATGTTTTTGGAATGTGGGAAGAAACCGGAATACCCGGAGAAAACCCACGCAGTTCCTGGACCAAAAAAATGCAACCTCCACACAGAGATGCCAGAGCCTGCACCTCTACACTGTGAGGCTGTTTTCTACACTTAAATACACTGTATTAAGAAAATCGAATCCAGTTTTTCCACATTCCGCGGGAGGTCACATTCAACTGTGATTTGTACCTTTGCTCATGATCACTTTGTACCTCAAACAACACACACACACACACACACACACACACACACAAAAGACAAAAAAAAAAACGATAGTGTTGAAAAATATGAAATATAATATACCATATATACAAATATAACTATGGTATTGTTTTGAATTGTACCATTAAAATTGTGAAAAGTAAGTTGGACCTCTGGATCCCTTAAGTAAGTACCTGACAAGTTGAGACGTGTTTCCCTTGTGAGTGTGTGTGTGTGTGTGTGTGTGTGTGTGTGTGTGTGTGCGCGTCCGTGAGTTTCAGGCAACTCCTCTCTTTCAGTCAACAGAGGGAAGGCATCCATCCATCTATTGTGCATGTTATCATTCGGGTCGTGGTGGAGCAAGATCTCAGATAAGTGAGCAAGAGGCAGGAAACACCAGCCAATCGCAGGGCACGTAAAGATATACAAGCATCCAACACTCACTTTCATTCACACCATATGGACGATTCAGACAAGAGTCTTCAAATAACCTGAACCTCAAACTAAACACGCAAGCTCCTCAAAAGCTGGAGTGAAGATTCAAACCCACAACCTCCGCGAGGCAGACGTGGTAAACGACCAGTCGATAATGCCGCACGGGAGGATACATTACCATGTAATATTCCATTTTTTTCAAATGACAGTGAATTCTGGTGTGTGCTATTTTAACATGATGTAGATATGATGACAGGCACAAAGCGTGCGAATTTGGTCATTTGTAGAAGAGACAAAATCTTCTTCTTCTTCTCCTTTCGGCACGTCCCTTTTCAGGGGTCGCCACAGCGAGTCATTAACTCCCATCCGTCCCTGCAAACCGCCCTATCAACTCGCATGTCCGTCTTGGCAAAAGTTTTACGCCGGATGCCCTTCCTGACATAACCCTCCCCATTTCTCCGGGCTTGGGACCGGCACCGGGGAACAGTGTACCCCCAGGGGAGGGCACTGCTCCCTAGCGGCTGGGTTGTAGAAGAGACAAAATAACTTTTTTAAAACTTGAAATGGATCTGTGAAGTTTATTGAACAACAGAAAAATTGACAGTCTCCCTCCCTTTCTTTTTTCATACTACTGGATTTGAAATTTCCTAAATTACGATCGATTAATGGCAGCACATCGGCCTCACAATTCAGAGTTTTGTCAAACTTTCAGCGGCGCTTACCTGCAGGGTGCAGCCAAAGACTCCGATCATGAGCATGGCGACACACAGGTACTCGGAGAAAACATCCCACCACGGCTTGAGGACGCGGTACTTGGAGTTCTGCTCAATGCCGATGTTTCGGAATTCTCCCACTGGGATCATCCTGACTGCTCGTCCACACTGAAGGGAAGAAACCAGAGCGAGAATCGTCTCGTGTGTTTCAAGGTCCTGCGGCCCACAGTGACAAATTATGCATTTGTGGCTTGAATACTAAATACTGGACAGCATGCACCTCTGTGCATGCAGTATGCAAGGAACTGCCTCTTTGTGTGCCCCGATTTTGCCTGCTGACCAGAGCGTTTTTTTTTTTTTTTTTTTTGGTTTATGCGCCCTATCCGTCCGCTAATATGGACTGGTGACCAATCTTTGGCATCTACGCATGATTGGGCACTCGTTTCTATTCTTTCATTTAGTTAGCTGAATTTACCTTATTTTAACACCCCATGACAGTTAAGATTGTGACTGTTGCCTGCAATTAATATTTTATGACATAAGTATTAAGATTCTTATTATTATTATTAATATTGCCCCGGAACAGAGCGCGCACGTGTTTGGTGCAACACAAAACCAGGAGGCAGGATCAGATCAGGTGTATTCCTAGTGGATCAACCAGTTTGACAACAATATGTCAGCCACCAATTTCCCAGTTTCACACACACTCTCAATGTGTCTTTACAGTTTGTGCTATTCCATTAACATTCTGGATTGATAATCCCTCATATGATGAGAGAGAAGTTTGATGCAGTCCATCTATTGTAATGTGAGTATAAGAGGCGTTAAGACAGCCATCTCAGGTGCACGACCTAAAAAAAAAAAATGTTGCGAAATCACCAACATCTCTCGAAGTCGTTCAACCTGACGAACGGACACTTTCTGCCCAAGACTCTGTGATTTGTTTTTCCCAATTCATTGTTATCAATCACAGGCATACTTCAAAACAGACTGATCCAAAATATTGGACTTACCCTGCGTAGTCGACAGGACCTGCAGTGGAATCAGGTAGGTTGTCGGGAGGCTGTCTTCATGGATTCAAAAGAAGAGCGCACCGGTGTCAAGTTGCGCAGCAATGCTGCTTACGCGGAATGACGCTTCAAAAATAAAGGCACTTTGAACAACCTATCCGGAATCAAACACTTCAAAATAAGTTGGTTTTAGAGAAGGGTTAAAGTTGTTAAAGTACAGGAAGTTGTTCGTTTATAGGAAGAATAAGCACTGTCCAATGGATAGTTCTGTGCTTTTATTTATTGTATTATTTTTACAAATCTTTGCCAGGGCGGCACGGTGACCGGTTGCTTGGCATGCCCACCTCACAGTGCAGAGGTCCGGAGTTCGATTCTGGGCTCCGGTCTTCCTGTATGGAGTTTGAATGTTCTCCCCCAGCCTGCATGGGTTTTGTTCGGGTATTCTGGTTTGCTCCCACGTTCCAAGAAACATGCTGGTCGATTAATGGAGCCCTCTAAATCAGGGGTGGCCAACCAGTTGATCGGCATTGACCGGTAGCACGCGAACTGGTCCAAACCCATCGCAGGGTCTAGAGGAAAATAGATTAAAAAAAAAATGTGTCTGTGGGCATGTTATCAATAAATATTTAAATATTTTTGCGTTAGTACACACGACACCCTAAGCAACCTCTCTCAGTTTCACTTTCCCCTAAAAGTATTAAAATATATATATATATATATTTTAACAAAGCAGGTCACCTTTAACCTACGGCGGCGCAACTTGCATCACCGGAAGTTGTTTGCGGTCACCAGTCTGCGATTGCAGTTTGCGATCACAGCTGCTGCCTTATATCTTGTTTATTTTTTATTTCTCTCAGTAAAAGTTTCTTTCATCTGCAATTCACCGATGGCACTGGCAGAGAATGGGAACCTGACGTGCCAGGAGAAAAACAAATTAAAATGATACACGTGAGCTACGATAGTGACGTTGTTGCACTGAAGACGATGACAAAGTTCGTCCCATGCCTCCCTCAGGTCTCGACCAAGGTAAGCGCTGATTCCTTTTTACAAATTCACAAGCTCTTGTATCGACTTTATTTTATTTGTTTCGTTCATGTTATGGCTGTTGCTAATCATGACATGAGTGTGTGTATGCGTGCACGTGCGGTAGCGTTTCGATCCGGGAGGTCGAGCTTGGGTCAAAAAAGGTTGAGCACCGCCTGCTCTTAATCGGCCCTTGGTGTGACTGTGAGTGTGAATGGTCATGTGTGCCCGGCAACTGGTTCAGGTTGTATCCCTTCTACTACCAAAAGTCAGCTGGGAAAGGATCCAGCATGCCCGTACCCCTCGTGAGAATAAGCGGATTAGAAAATGGATGGATGGATGTTTCCCAGGTCAGAGAAGCACTTAAAGGGATCGGACATTTTTCGCTAGCAACCTCAATTTATGTATTTTTTTTCAGGCAATGTATTATTATTATTACTTTGTTTTACATTCAGTAAATAACTAACTGGTTTCAAAACTGTTTGAAGCACAAATAATTTCCTCTGGCCCCTAAGAGACACGTTACACTGTCACATATCAACGACAAATCACAGCTTTTGAAACAAGGCAATGTGTCAGTGTAAGACATCCCCCTTCATAGGGCCCCGTACAAATTGGAATGGACCAGGTAAATCACAAAATACAGTACATATTGCCGTTTATGTTTAAGTGATATTTTGTGAGGAATGCAAAATATATCTTTGCTCTTTCATAATTGAGGAGTTTTTTTGCGGGGTGGGCTTCCCTGGTTCTCCTTGCCTGGTGTCCAGGCAGTTCTAGAAACACTCCTGGAAGGATGAATAAATGCTACATAGTACAGTTTAAAAAGATTCGAACCATGATTTCTTTACGCTGCCACTGAACAAATCGGTTCGCTGTGCACCGTTTGTAACTTTGAAACCTCGCACGTCAAGACCATCATAAACTGAGGACATCTTATAATAGGTGGAAGAAGAAAAAAAAATCTTTTAAATTTGCAGTCTACATAACCAAGACCAATGCTGTACATGTTTGCAGATCACTACAGTCGAGTACAGTTTGTCTCCCTCTGTTGGTATCATTTTTCTTTCTCTGACAAATTGAAACTGTTCAATGAAATTACGTGTGACGTGCAGTGACAATTCCATTTCCATATAACAACAGGACACCGCAATACAATAAACATTTTACTATACAATTATTGTACATACAGGTTTCAGTTGGAAAAATGTACAAAGCAGATTTTAAATACTCAAATTTCCAACCCAGCTACAGATGAACAACAAAATCCCTTTCAAAGTGAACTGAATTCTTTACAAACATCCCCCGGCCCCTTTCAACAGGCATTTCGACGCAACTACAACACATGCTCGTTGCTCAAACACGACACCAGCCTGTTTCAATCAAAAATGTTCAGTTCAGAGGAACACGAAAAGCAAACGAATAAATAAAAAGGTGAGCGCTTCAATTTTGTACAAGAATTATTTGAATTATCACTGTACAAAACATCATGTAGAAACCTTTGTAGCTTAAACGGCTGTTACAAACATTTTTTTTCCCATTTGTCCTATGTTGTCAATTGTTAGCGCGCTTGGACAAAGAAGTCACTTTTTTTTTTTTGAGGTCTGGTGGAAGAAGAAAAGTCAACTTTGTAGTGAGAAATCAGTATTTTTAACCCAAGATGTTTAAAAAGCTACAGTATTAAATTTCCTCATGAATTCACAATCCTTGTCTTGGCACTTTCATTAAAGACCAGGTTTTACCTGTTCAATACGCTGGGGCTGATCTCACATCAAAATGTTACCTGCAGGATTTAAACTTTATTCTGTTATTTTATTCTATTCATTTTCTATGTATGTAGAATTTACTGGACAGGGTCTTTAAGGTAGAAATGTTTTTTTTTTTAATGATGTTTTGGTGCCCTGGTCTTCAAATGAAGATATGCACTTAAAATTGTATTTATTATTTTGTGACCCTTGAGCAATTGCCCCAGGTCTCTGCGCTTGGGCCATAGTAAAACCTCTGAGGAATAGTTAAAAAAAAAAAAAAGCCCCAAGAATATTTAACCCACAAATTCTGATAATATATAGAAATAAACGTTTGTCCGATCAAATGTTTACAATATACTGATCATGGTCCTCTGAGGACTTACAAAAACTCAAATGACCCCCTTCCCCAACAATAGGAAAAAGGTTCCCACACCCACTTTAGATGCTCTGCATCAATTCCAACTCAATTCTGAATTTATGACAAATAACTAAAATTTGACATTAATTTAACGGAGCATTTTGTCCACAATTATGTTAGTGCTGATTACCAAATTCAAATGAGTTTGGATTTGCTGATTCGGGATGAGAAAGTCTTCTAATTTGAGACCTCCGTTATCATGGGAACCTTTGATTTTGCCCCTCAGTACACTGATGTTAACACACACACGTGAACATGCATGACGCTGGCACTTAAGCAGTGACAAAAAAAAAAAAAAAAAAGGTGACTTTGAATTCTATGAGATGGTTTAAACAATATTCCGCCCTCAAATCACCCTTTTGCACAGGTTTACCCCCTCTTTTAGCGAGAAATAAACAGCCCCTGATGGACCGGTGCATGCGTGCAGCCCTTTTTCGTCCAATCTGGAAGATTCGGCTTCGTTCGCCGACTTTGAACGCCAGAAGTGAGCACAGAGACGGACTGAGGTCTTGCTGGATTTGGCAGAACACAAGTCAGGTTCCAAAGAAGGTCGCCATTGATTAGACTGCTGCCGACAGTGGACTTCAGACCTTTCAAGTTATAATACTGATTTGGTATTAGCTCCAGAATCGATGTGTAGGTGTATGTGAAGTGGGAAATGGGGAGGGGGGCGGGGTTACAGTGTGCTGTACTGCCGATTGTGTGGTGAAGCTTCGTCACGCTCTCGCTCGGGTGTGGGATACTGAGGCGGGTCCTTTTGGCAGGGCTCCATGGTGACGGCCACGCCAACGCCGCTGCGCCCTGATGTCATGTGTGTTACCTCCGACCAAGTGTCCTTCTCGGGGTCGTAACACTCCACGCTGTCAAGGAACGTGCTGCCGTCGTAGCCTCCTGTCAACACAAACAATGTTTTCAATCATTTTTGAATATGTTTGTTTAGTTTGCCTTAGAGGGGAGACATAAAAACTATGGATATCCTGATCACATTTTTGGGGCACCTGAGTCCAAATCTTAAGTATCTGCCGATACCGAGTCCCGATCCGATACTCGACAATGCATTACAATAAAAAATCAATCTGAATTTTCTCAATTAAATACATTGTTTTACATTTGTACATATATATGGGCTACTCCACCAAGTTAATAGCAATTGCTTTTTTTAAAAGTTTTTAAACTTTTTTTTTTCTTTTCTTCAGTTTTTGTAAACCGCACACATCTTGAACAACACAAAAGACAAGCTCAGTTTTTCCATTATATTGTTTCAAAGTGATGGCTTGGAAGTATTTCCTGTAATTGTGACTTTACGACTGTGCTAAATTAAGTTTGGGATTGGACGACTACGTGGTTTTACTATGCCGCGTTTTGAATTACAAATTCGAGTTACGTCACTGCCAAAGGAATGGAATTTTTTTTTCGTGAACCGAGGCCGCCCTTCGCACTGTTTCCAAGTATATTTTGTATTTAAAATAGAGGTAGTTCTGTGCTTTGCGGTGCTCCTCACCCAAAACATAGATGCGTCCGTGTAAAGCAGTGACTCCCAGAGCACTGCGTCGGTGCCGCATCGAGGCAGCAAAGCTCCACGTATCTGTTTCCACGTTGTAACGTTCCACCGTGTTCAGTTGGTTTGTGCCATCATACCCGCCCATCACAAAGATATGATTGCCCAGAGCGCAAACACCTGTGAGAAAGATATACTGTTGGTCAATGATGGTCTTTTGTGAAGAGACCCAACTTTGCGTTTGGTACTCACCGGCTCCCGACCGCATGGTGTTCATTGAGGCCATGGTCTTCCACTCGTCTCTCTCTGGGTTGTAGCACTCGCATGAGCTGAGCCGGCTGGCCCCGTCAAAGCCGCCCACGGCGTACAGTAGCCTGTTTATGACGGCCACGCCCACCCCGATACGCCGAGTCAACATG